GGGCAAAGGGCGTGGTCTCAAGGTCACTTCAAAGTTGACCTAAATTTAAGCTGAGAATCATCAAACTTTGTGACTTAATGCATCTGGGGTTTTACATTTTATGGCTTTATTTTAGTATCTCCGGTACTTATAGGATAAGAATCATCAAACTTTGTCAGTTGATGCATCTTGGGTTTTCGGAGAATATCAACCAAAAAGTAGGCCATGGTGACCTACTTTTGAATATCTCGGGTACTAATTGGCTTAGAGTCATCAAATTTTGTTAGTTCATATATCGGCAAGTTGGGTTTTTGAAAATCGTCTACTAAAAAGTAGGTCATCGTGACTTACTTTTGACATTTTATGGCTATATTTAAATATCTCGAGTACTGATTGACCTAGAATTGTTAAACTTTGTCAGTTGGGGCATCTTTGGTTTTCGGAGAATGTCGACCAAAAAGTAGGTCATAGTGACCTACTTTTGAATATCTCAGGTACTTATTGGCTTAGAATCATCAAACTTTGTCAGTTGATGTATCTTGAGTTTTGGAAATTCGTCTACTATAAATTAGGTCACTGTGATATTTTATGGCTATCTTTAAGTATCTCGAGTACTTATTGGCTTAGAATCAGCAAACTTCGTCAGTTGATGCGTCTTTGGTTTTTGGAGAATGTACACAGAAAAGTAGGTCACAGTGACCCTCTTTGAATATCTCAAATACTTATTGGCTTAGAATATTCAATCTTTGTGTATCAATGCATTAATGATTTTTTATAGCTTTATTAAAATAGCTTCAAATAGAAGTGACAGATTGTACAATTTATCAGAAGAGCGATTCAAGGCCCTAGGGCCTCTTGTTTCTTATTTATTACTATGTAAAACTTTGATCGGCCATTGTGGCCCCAACCCAACCCCTGGGGGTCATGATTTAAAGAAAGTTGAATGTACACTACCTGATGATGATTCAACATGAGTTTCATCTTTCCTGTCCCAATGGATCTTGAGAAGAAGATTTTAAAAGTTTTTTCTTATATATTCCTATGTAAAACTTAGTTCGGCCATTGTGGCCCCACCCTACCCCCGGGGGACATGATTTGTATAAATTTAAATTTGCACTACGTAAGGATGATTCCACCCACATGACTTTCATCTTTCCTGGCCCAGTGGTTCTTAATTAAGAAGAAGGTTTTTTAAAAATAACATTAATTTTTCACTAATTCATTATTATCTCCCCTTTGAAAAGGGCGTGGCCCTTCGTGTGAACAAACTTGAATTCCCTTGCCCAAGGATACTTTGTGGCAAGTTTTGGTTAAAATTGGCCCAGTGGTTCTTGAGAAGATGAAAATGTGAAAATTTTACAACAAGGACGCCGACAACGACGACAGACAACGGAAAAATTTTGATAAGAAAAGCTCACTTAAGCCTTCGACTCAGGTGAGCTAAAAAGCACACTTTGCTCATAAATGAATAAAGGTCTATTTATAGTATCCAATACAGTCAAAATCCCCTGTTGAATAAATAGGAACAGATTTAGCTAGGTTACTGTCCTTGAGCTCTCATTGTGTTAGATATCTGTATGTATCAGCATTGCCCGATCATACATGAGATGTAAAGTCCAGATTCCGATATCAAGCTCTGTCGCATGTGAATTCTGAAAAAATACAAAATGTACACAACTGAAGACCTAAGCAGGTATTTGTAATTTTTTCCCTATGTTTTACCAAATGATTTTTAGTCTTAAGAAAAAAAATTATTATTTTGAGATAAAACAGACGTTTAAAAAACTTCTAATTAAAAGAATTTAATTTAATTTAAGTATTCCTTCTGTGCTAACTTCTTTCTTGTTTTGAACCTTAAAATGAAAGTAAGATCAAAGATCAAGATAAAAAAGATAAATTGCAAACTACTTTCAATTTATTCTGTACACAGATTTTATGCTTTTACTGCATGTAACAACAATGTCTGATATTTTCTGATTCAGAAGTTCCTTTCAAAAAATTATTTTTTTAAGTATGTTTGTTTATACATGTATACATGTACCAATGGTCCGGTTTAACGTCACCAAAGTCTTAAAAAACACAACACATAAAGAAAATGCATCAACATTTCAATTATCAAAATCTACCTTTTATGATAAAAAAAGATGTAAAATAAAAAAAATATGTTATTTCTGTGTGTTTGTTTGCTAAATACTTAATGAAAGTGAAAGCCACCAGCTTAAGTCAAAATCCTCTTTTGATAATAAATTGCTGTAGAATTCAAGCAGACCAAAATTAAAATATTTTTCAAGATTGATTCTCAGAAGTGTTGTTATCTGCAGATTTCGAAATAAATTCCATAATCCATAAATATTTTATAGGCGATTGAAAATTTGACTTAAGTCTGTTTGTTTCATGATCCTGTGACCTGCAGGTCTCGGTCTACTCAAGAATCCTGTCATCATGCTGAATATCCAACAGTAGAGAATCATTATCAAAGTCAAATCTCAAGGCTTTCTTTAAATTTGCCTCGTTGCTATAGAGAACTTGTTGTTGCTATGGAAATAAACAATAATACAATATTCAATAATTTGTTAGGAAATCCAAGTTGAATTCTATAATTTTGAAATTTGTTTCTTGTTTATCATAGATAACATTTCATTTGATTTTTCCGTAAACCTTTTACATTGTTTCTCATTTTATGTATCAATGGCCATATTTGTTGCCAGACAACAGATTCAATTTTTAAAAAAGGCCCATGGATTTGACTTGAAATTCTAAAGGAGAAATTCCTCTGCCTTTAAATGAAACACGTGCAACACGTGCAACAACTGTATTAATCTGGCCTCTTTTTAAATTTGGCCTTGAATATTGCCAAAATCACGAAAAATGCTGAATCAGCAAAAATTGCAAAACATGTACCTTCGAAGACCTTATTAATTTTTTTTACTGCAAAGTTCAAAAACTTTTAAAAATGTGTATCTTTACTACACCAGTAAATGAAAATAGTTCTTATGATTTTTTGTCAGTCTGCCGGTTGCAAAGTAAATTTCTTTGGCCAAGTATCCTTGGTAACCATGACTCAATTTTTTTTTTAATTTTCCATACATTGGTCATATTGCAAGAGAAATTTATGAGTGAAAAATCATTGAATTTTGAAAACCCTTACTTTTTAGTTTATACATTTTTGTTTGATTTTTATGTGGACTGGTATTTAAAGCCTAACCTTGTACATTTTATTGATCAAGTTCAATTAATCTGTGCTAGCCCTCATTTTGTTTTCCCGCTTAACACCGTTCTCCGCAGTCACGCATTTTAACGCATATATCATTTCCTATTTCTAACGCAAAATCACGCATATACCGTTTCCCCGAAATCACGGATTTTCACTTTAAAAAGTTCATTTAATCATGAATTTAATGCCATTTTCCTTCTTTTTTACACTTGCCAAAATCTCATAAAATGGGAAAAGGGCTTTATGGGATTTGATCACGTGACCAACCCGTTTTACATCCCAATAAAACTAAAAAAATGATACCTTATTTCTTAAGTGTATGATGCGCCACAGTTCAGTAAGTTGTAAAGTGTTAACTAGAACGTTGAGTTTTGAAGCAGGTTCAATTAAAAGTGTCGATTCGCCCTGTACCTGGGCTAAACATGCTAAACTTGCAAGGATGATATATGTAAGGATGCACATTACGGGACTTGCTACGGATACTGAAATTTGATCTCCATTTTACAATTTAGTGACCACCTTTACCAAAAATACTGCCTTCCTGCAAACATTTACTGCAAGTCTGCAGCAAACATTACTGTAAACTTGCTGCAGATATTCTGCAGGCATTGCTGCAAGCAATGCATGCTGCAATGACGCTAACAAACCATGACGGCCTACCGGTACATAAAGCCTCAGTGATTGCAGCAAGTTTGCGGTAGGTATGCAGCAAGGTTGCAGCAAACACTTTACCATGCTAATGATGCTTGCAAACATTGGACTTTCCAAATATGTACACCTCGCTAATACTTTCGGCAAACGTTCCTGCTAACTTGCAGCAAACAATTTAGCTATTTTCGCACATTCCTGCGTACAAGCAGCAAGTTCACAAAGAGCTGTAGTCCTGTACTGACCTTTATCTGTTAATCAGAGAAAATTAAATTTTTCCACATGTGTTTGAAATGATACAAGTTTACGAAGTGATCTATTGATGGTCTATTTTCATGTACCTAGACAATGTTCCCCACACAAAAGACCCCCCCCCCCCCCTAGATCCGCGCATGTTTTAATTTTTATCAAGGGAGGTCCACGCTTACACTGTATAATATATATATTAAATGAATTCTTTTTTTTTTTAAGAATAAGTTCTATCTTGTGTCATCCCAAACACCTTATGAATGTTTAGACACTGGACCGGCCCCTGACGTTTTCAGGATGAAAATTGATGAATTAAGATCAAGTCTTGAAATTTCTGTTTTCAGGATGAAAATTGATGAATTTAGATCAAGTCTTGAAATTTCTAAGTTAATTTTTTTAAGTTTCAAATTAAAAAATTGCTTATCGACATATCTTATTTTAATTTTAAAACCCATGCAAGAGTTACGCGGTATTTTACCTATTGATCTAACCTAGCCATGCATATGTATATATATCTCGACCATGTTTAGCTTCGGAAAATCCTGCTCTAAAAATAGAAAAGGGAAATGGTCAATTTTCTGAAAATTCGGACTTATTTTTGGACGTTACATGATTGTATATCGGTATATAAATTGTTCTCATAGTAGTTGTTTGCAATTTCAAGGAATTGTTCAAGTAAAGAAAGGTTAAGAAATGTACATTTTGTATGCATAACAGCAAAGCTTTTATCTAACAACTCATCCATAAAGTATAACTTCTGACTTCTTTATTCAAATCAATTATAACTGTCTAAAATCTTTGTTACATTCCATATTAATTTGTTGCACTTCTTTTCATAATTAGTTTACTATTTTCATATAAACTTTCCTACATGCATACATGTATTTGTTCTTTTCAACAGATCTGGACGATTTATTCAACTTAATTACTGAATGGAAGGTTTTCAGAAGCCGTTATATATTTATCATCAAGTACGTAATTATATATATAACAATTAAATATCATTATTTACAATTTTCACCAGTATATACAATTTCGTGTTATTTATAAAGCTTTTGCAATAATTTGTTCAGGCCTGGGACCGATAAACCATTGGCAGTTCATTATTTTTACGTTTTCCGAGAATAAATATGTGTAGGTCGAACTTATGTATTGAATAGATATAGGTTCTCATACATTTAGTTTCCTCCATTCACTTACACTATTACTTTTTTATGAGAGAAGGGTAGAAAATATTCTCCTTATTTTTATATATCTTATATATGATATGTAACGTGCGTGGTTTAATTTGTAATTCCTGCGATCTTTGGCCGTGTTGGCTATATATGTGCCGTGTTTTTATCATATCTTTTGAAGGAACTTACATGTAACAATTTGTTTTTACTTTTAAACTCCACCCGCATCCCACCCCAAAAAGCTAGTTTTTCAAAGTCTAAACGAGAATTCTTTGTTCTCTTCGAAAATGCTGCATTTCCATTCAATTTCAGTTTTTTTTAATACGTGTTTTTTTTAAATGTTACCTCTTTCAAATAAAAAAGGGACGTAAAACTAAGTAATTATTTACCAAAACCTTAGATCTTTCCATACGTGTGTGTGAATCTTTGCTTGAGAGTGTGTAAGAGGGGGGGGGGTTAGGGACACAAGCCTAGAACCCCCCCTTTCCAAAATGGCTGGATCCGCCCCTGTAAACAGTTCATTATAAGCGGGTATGTGTAATACATAAAACGAGAATATTTAAACAAGAAACGAGAAACAATGGGATGTCAGATTCAGCATAAAATAGCTAAATGTAATGACCTTAAACGTCAATAAAGGGGGGCAGCTGGTGTTTTTTATTTCATTTTGTTCATAGTCGAGCCATGATCGAGCCTCTTTATTGTAAACCACTTATTTCTCAAAAATTACCTCGATACAAAGTGAGATATCTTAAAAGATACATGTATTTCCGATTGGGGTTGTAGATGAAGGAAAAAAACAGTCTGGAGTCACTTCTGAGTATTCCATCTTAAGGTTTTATCCTACATCTATAACCCCAACCAAAAGTACTAATACATGAATCTTACAATGCTAGTAACTAATTAAGATGTCTTACTTTGTATCGAAGTAATTTTTTAGGAATATATGAGTGGTTTACAATAAAGAGGCTCGACCAGAGATTTCTGAAACGATTTCACTGACAAGAACAAAGTCTCTCGAAGCGAACGATGTCATTTTTAAGTAGGTTAATGATTGATATATTAACAAAATACGAGCTTGAAGCGGGGGTGCTTGAAATTGAGTGACAGTGTAGTTACCTTGTGGTACAAATAAATAGGGGTTACCCCTTACGAAACAAGTGCCTGTAGTCAGAATTCTAACTATAACTCAGTCAAAAATAATCATGATCAACCGTTAATTACTGAATATTAGCTTTTTACTATAACATTGTCCAAGGAAATCTTCCTGAAATAGTCTGATGCAGAAGCAGTGAAAGGTAAGATAATTTTAAAAAAGAACTTAAAAAGGGAAGAGAATTTTTTTAATTTACGAATCGAAATATAGGAATTTATATAATTTAACTTTTTTTAAAAATATATATATATTCTTTGACTTTGTAACAATTGGAATTTTTTTTTTATTATTTCAGAGAATCTCTCTCTTACCAGTTGAACACGTACTTTAAAGTTGTTGATATTGGTATTAATTAAATCTGTCATCATTTTATTTTTGTGCGTGAGATAGTTGTGTGGGTTTTCCTGTTATAAAACAAAATGAAATCAAAAGCACAATTAAGCTGCCCCCTTTGTTGACATTTTAAGGTAATTAGGTGGTTTATGCTGAATCTGACATTCCATTGTTTCTCGTTTCGTGTTTTACACAAACCGGGTACCCATTTATGCGCTCTCAGAAACGAAAGTTCCTTTAGCTTAGCTTGCTCAAGTTCCCGGTAATCAAAAGCAAAAGTGATCGCTTCATTTGCGCTTTTGATTAGAACATAAACGTACAATAAATAACTCAGATTCGTATACTTGTAAGTATATCCTACGTTTAAATTTTCCGAAATGGGAAAATTAATCCCTTGAAGTAAAGAGTGATAAATCATTATGTGCCCTGTATGAGCTTGTAGAAAACAGGTAAGAAAGAATGATGAACAAAAAATGTACTTTTTGCAATGGTCAATATTTGGTTAATACTCAGAGTCTGATAACTTCCTTTATTCTGCTGTGGTCCCTGCAAACTCTTAGCTAAAAAGGACTTGGGGGAAAAAAAAACAACCCAGGACTAGTACAATTCATTTTAGAATGCAAAAGTTAATTTTGCTTATGCTGAAATTCGTCGCTAGGAAATTAAAATATTACATATTGACATTCAGTGTGAATTTTTTCTTTATGAAATCCATTATATCATATCTCTATAACACACGCAAAACCTTGTTACCGCGCGTTAGAATACACAGTAGGAACTATATCCATTTTCAAAATTTTTAAGAACACCAAAATGTACACTGTTTTGACACAGTTTCACGAAAAATATTAACCCTGTTAATTTTAACGTAAAAATACAACAAATTTGCGTTTAGAATTAATTTGTCACTTTTTTCCTCGCAATGTTCGTTTGCGTTATTTGAATTTACAACGTAACAAACGTCACGAAAGGCTCTTAAGTTTAATTAAAAAGCACACCAGTATTGAGGGGCGCTAAATTCGTATAAAAGATTACCGAAATAAACAATCATGAAGAGGAAACATAAGGGAATGTAAATATAAGCATTGAATTCATATTTTGGGATGTCTTCGGTCCTATAACACACCTGGCCGTGCCGACAAATTATCATACCGCGCGTTAATTGGTTGTTGCTGAATTTAAGTAGCTGCAGATCTTTAGCTCGCGCTGGACTGAAAAAAATTGGGATGGATGACCAGACTCCGGTCTGCATGTCAACTATATATATATATATTTTCGGATAGCTACCGTTCTGCGGCTAGTAATATGCTGTAATTAAAGCAAACATTTCTTCTTTTTTAATTTCAGAAATTACTAGACTTACATGTAACATGAACAATTTATCTGGAAAACCAAAGAAAAATGTTTCTTCTAGAGAAATATCAAATCGACCTATCACATCAGGCGCTAGCAATACCAGCAATATAACTGTTCTGGAGAAGTTTGTAAATGGAATTAATTTTAACCATGAAGGTCAATGGACGCCAACTGAACCAGAAGACAGTGAGAGGACCTCTGCTAGGACCGCTGGGAAATGCTGCTGCTGTTGTTGTCCTCAATGCAGGGGAAAACCACAGGATTCGAGTCTTCGGCAGACACAAATGGAAAATAAAGAAACTCAAACACTAATTAGTGCAAAGTCTGAACATGATTTCCAAATTGAAGAAATCTTTGAAAGGTTTTTGATCTCACAACTGGAAAACAGTATTTTCAAAAGCAACATCAGAAAACCTTATACGTTGCTAAAGGATTTAAGATGTATCGATAATTCTAGTATTGAAAAAACAATCGAAAAGAAATCATCATTTAATAGTCTTAAAGGAGACACGGGTAATGATGACAAGCTCACTAATCTGATGTACTTTCTAATCAAGCGTTTTCAGTGGTTAGAACCAATAAATATTCATGCATATCCAGTGAAAGACTTTTCACGAAATCTAGAAGAATTTGTCAACAGAGAACTGCGTGCTGTTCGTTCATCTAGAAGCCCAATTAGTTCGCAACTAGCAAGTGAACTGCATTCTATGAATATGGAAATAATACGAGTCGCTACATTCAGTAGCTTTCCGCGAGCCAGTTCTGTGTCCACTATAAGACTGGCCAAGGAAGGTTTCTACTACACTGGCAAGGAGGATACAGTCGTCTGCTTTGCCTGTGGACAACAAAGGCATGGATGGGAACCAGCAGACAATCCAAGAGAAATTCACCAACAAATCTCTCCAAATTGTCCATTTTTAAATTCTGAACAATCCAAAAATGTTCCAATTGGACAAAACGAAACTGTTGGAAACATGCAAGTACGAGAAAACGAGAGAAGGCAAGGTATTGTGAATCGACAACCAGAAGCTTTGCAAAATTTCAGACAAGCGCCCAATGCTGAAGTTGTTTCTTCCTCTAGTCACGAAAGAAACATGGAACAAAATGGAAATTCAGAGAAACAAGATATTAAAACAACTCACCAGAAAGCACTGGAGCGGCAGAAAAAGATCAACAAATTTATGAAAAGTTTAGATCCTCTTGGAATCAACTTCGATCGTCCAAAGTACCCTTCATATGCTGTAATGGCAACAAGAGTAAGTTCTTTCAAAGACTGGCCATCAAGTGTAATGCAGACACCACGTGATCTTGCAATGGCGGGATTTATTTACGCGGGATATGGGGACTACACACGTTGCTTCTTCTGTGGTGGAGGACTGCGTAACTGGGAACCGCAGGATGAGCCATGGAGAGAACACGCCCGATGGTTTCCGAAGTGTGCATTCTTGAGACAGAACAAAGGAGACGAGTATGTGGCAATGATTCATATCGAACACGAAGAAGAGGTAGCAGAAAAGTTTTTTTAAAAAATCTTAATCACTCTGATAAATGTTCATGTACATGTACATTGCATTGTGGTCATTGTTGGGAAATATTTTATTTTTTCAGGAAGAACAACTTGCGTTAGAAAGCGCAGAGAAACCATCATCTTCCTATGCGAACTGTGCATCAGCATTACCAGGAGCAACAGAATCAAAAGATGAAGCCCTCGCCGAAATCTTCGACTTATCGTCGGTTCAGAGTGTACTTCAAATGGGTTATTCTCTTGAAGAGGTGAAGGCGGCCTTTGAATTCTTGAAACTTGCAAAAGGTGGGTCATATCTACGTTTTCCACCTATCGATCATTGCCTGAAACTTTCTCACATTGTGCATGTTACTTAAGTTATTGTTGAAAAATTGAAAAGTAAGCAGCTACAGACAGATGACAAACATATTGGAATCACAAGAGCATTTTTTTTTCAGATGGACAAATAATCATTTAGTAATGAAAAAGATAAATTGGTACTGGTTAATATGTGTAGTTCAACTGAGAGTAGTTAGTTTGCTTTGTCTTTTAATGATTTCAATTTTTTCAGATGTGGGAGAAATCTCTGGAGAGGACATAATGAATGTCATTCTGTCGAACGAGGAAAACACGGCAGCATCAGAGACAACGTGTACAACTCACAATACGAATAGACAGACTGTTAGATTAGAAATCCCTGCACCCTCAGATCAGAGTGATAGATATACAGAGCGTATGTCTGGATTGGCGAGTTTAAAGCCAATACCTGATCCTACAGCACTCATGGAAGCCTCTCATGGTAAACCTAAACATTACAGTAACTCATCAGTATAAATGATAAGCAATCTGATTAAAATCAGATCCTTTGATCCGCTCACATACGAGTAGATTAAAATCAGATCCTTTGATCCGCTCACATACGAATAGATCGCTTGTGTAGCGATCTATGTGAGCGGATCAAAGGAACTGATTTTAATCAGATTGCACCTTGTGTAGCGATCTATCTGAGCGGATCAAAGGATCTGATTTTAATCAGATTGAAATGATAAGAGACTGAGGAGATCTTCGGCTGATATACCTATCAGTTTACATGTATATTACAAGGAAGAAAAATAAAACAATTGTGTGATATTTTCCTTATGTGTGATAATTTCCTTTTTGGGATGGTTTTTGTCAAAACAAATTTATCTTTTTAAAAAGATATAGGTAGGTTAGCGTCATAGCACTTTTTTAACACAGAAAGGAAGGTTCGTAATCAACTGCATGGTTTATTTTCCTGAATTCTTTAATCTTTAGCGAGGCTGGAGTCTGATAGAGTTATATTTTTATACCCCCGCTTGAAAAATGGGAGGGTACATAGTAATCGGTATTTCCGTCCGTCCGTCCGTCCGTCTGTTACGCTTTGGGGTACCCATCTCTTATCCGCAACTCCTCTCAAACCACTGAAGGAAATTTAATGAAACTTTCACAGAATCTTTATTACATATTGCCATTGTGCACCTCCTATATTACTTTTTGATCTGACATATATTTTGGATTTTCCAGAGCAAAACATTATATTCATATGGGAGGCGGGGGTATTATTTAGTGAGCTCATTGCTTACAGTACCTCTAGTTTGTAAAGTATGTTGTAATTTTATAGAATTAAAATCATATTAGCGTGGGACTGCATCGTATGAATCGCTTCTCGTGTCTTGCCAACAAACTGAGAAAGGAAGAAAAGAGATTTCTTATGAGGTTGACGGTATTATCCAGGAAGGTGGTAGAACTCGCAAGCTAGATGTCTAGAATCTTGGCATTATATGACCTGTTTTTGTTTTGTAGTTAACTTTAAAGTGTAAGCTACACAATAAGTAAACAAACTTCAGAATAAAACAGAAAAGGCTGATTTAGTGCTATTTAATGAAACGACGAAATTGTTATCGTACAGTCTATCCATAGTTGTAGTTTTAACAGAGTGCTAGACTGAAGTTTTCAATTACGTGCACAACCTTATATTAGTAGGCTTTGAAAGCAAGAATAAAATGTTGGGAGTGCCACAAAATAACTCAGATTTCAAATGTATGACATTTGAAAGAAATTCAAATAGGGTCATATGACTAAATCAGCAAGATGGTAGATCACCTTTGACGTCCGAGGTTATGTGGGTGGTACAAGCCATCCGAGGAAGTATAAGTGTGAAGTTTTCCCAGAATGCCCGACCGTGAAACCGAGCATTCGTATTCCAAAAATATGTACTAACGTAGTTAAAAGTGCTCGAGAAATTATGGAAATTGTTTTAAAAGTTGAAGTATGAAAGTTATTTTTAGATTATTTTTTTTTTGTTGTTTTGTTTTGTTGCTTCCGATTTAATCTCACTCATTTTTAAAATGTCAGTAAAAATGGAGTTCAGTTATATTACTTTCCTTTATATGCATGCATAGTGACAATCGTTAATTCAAATATGCTCTCTCTCTGATTTTGTAGACAGGCAGTCTTTGATTGAAGAATACAGGGAGTTACGAAATCTCCGCGTCTGTAAAATCTGCCTAGAGAACGACGCTTCAATTGCCATGTTGCCCTGTGGTCACCTATGCTGTTGTACAGACTGTGCTCCGGCCATGAGAAATTGTCCGATATGTGGTCAGTTTGTAAAGGGGACGGTCCGAACATGGCTAGCCTAAATGTAGTGAATGGAACATTCTAAGATTTTCAAATTTTAAAACTATTTGTAAACCATTTTCACATCTATTACTTTTTTCCTTATATACATGTAGTATTGTTTGTCCTTTTGTCCCTCGGCTGTTCATTCTGTTTGTTTATACATAATTTTGCTTATATGTATGAAAGAACAAAGAATTAAAAGATTAAACGAATCTCACCACAGAAGTACTGTGTTATTTACTAATAATTTAACAGTATTCCAAATCAGAAGTCACTAAAAACAATACAAAGTAGGAGCAGAGCAAACACGGACCTCCGATTCATCAGAGATGGGATCAGGTGCCATGGAGTGAGCATCCCCTGCCGACCGGTCACACCCGCCGTGTGCTCCTTGTCATATATGAAAAACATCAGTCAGCATTAGACTCAATGATAAATTTATTTGCTGACAAAGTCATTGTATCGACCATAGAACTTACGAATTGATGACTTTAAACGATACTGCTGAAATTCTTGTTTCATCAACTTGTTTGTCAATAATTTCCCTCGTTGTAGAAATTGTTCAAACGTAGAGCATGCTCTTGCATATCTTATCAAATGAGATATGTAAACTCCGTATGCAGGTGATGAAGGTACATTGTATATTGCTGCATATTAAGTAAGGGAAGTTAACGATAGAAAAGTAAAAATTTTCACGTTTATCATAGAGCTTGGTTGTTAGATTACCATTAACGTCTTTTCAAGTAAAATATCTAAGTATCAAACAGTTGTGTGAGACTCTGTGGTATCTTTTATCTCAAGCTCACCAGGATATATCGTACCGACACAAGAATGGAAATTACATGTACCATTGTTAATTGACAGTTCGTCGTCGATATATCTAAATATTTCTATTTCTAATTTTTTTTTTCTGTGATAACTCTTTGAAAGTTAGCGGAGTTGATATCTCGATAATTCTACCAGAATGTTAATTGGGCAGGTCGATAGGTCAGGAGCTAAGGAGGCCTAATATGCATGCAAAACTTGTGCGCATCTGTCCCTGTGTCTGACACTAAGGAGGCCAAATATGCATGTAAATTTTGTGCGGCTGCCTTTGTGTTTGACGTCAGTGAGCGAGGACTATTAAAATTGGCATGGGGGTTCTCTTGTTATTAAAATCTATGTCTACATTTTAAAAATCTAAATATCTACAATTTTATTTTAAGATGAAATGGAAATATAGGGAATCACTGTCTAGTTAGTATAGTACGCCAGGGACATCAACGATAGTGTGAAACATGGGATAATTTATGCAAACCGGGCTTCGCCGATTATGCAAATTATTCCATGTTTCCCACTATCGTTGATGCCCTGGCATACTAGACTAACTAGACTGTGATTCCTTAAGGGGGGCGACTATAGTTTCCACTGCGCAATATTTCGCGCATCATAGTAAAATGAAGCGTATTTACTGTTTTAATGCAACTTTTTTCGCTTAATTATTAAAATTAAAAAAAATTAAGAAATTATAGGGATAAAAATGTAATTACAATTTGATATAACTGATTTTTTAACCGATTTTGCAACTGATAGGTAGGTTGACGTCGTTGCAGTGTGTTTTTGACGTTATGATAATCTGTAGCTCTTAAAGAAAGGGGTAATAAAAATATTATTAAAGAAAAAGTAGTAAAAATACGCTCTTGAAATTTAAAACATAGAAATTTGAGAATATCTCCAATATTTGTATAATGTTTTCATGTGAATCCATTGTGTACGTCATATTTTGTAATACTTTATAAAAATAGTAAAATTTGCTAATTTTTTACATTTTGAGATGCCCCCTCTGCTAACAAGACGGTAGAATTTTGTGTTTCTTACATATATTGTATAATATAGTATTACTCATCAAATATTATAGTTTGAACAAAATGTCTATAGTAGTATTTGTATAATTTGCTTTAAAGTGCTAAAAATTGGCATCTTCCTATATAATCCTATAGTAAATCGACCTGTATTTTGAGATGGTCCCTCAAAAATACCTGGACGGTAGATTTCCCCCAAACTTTGCATGTACACTGAAATTAATGTAAGTTATATATGGTATAAAAATGAAGAGTTTCGCTATTGTAGTTTTCACACAATAAAACTATAGTCGGTCCCCTTAAGTGTCGAGTTGAAGGCCACAGGAATTGTTTTCTTCTTTTCACGCATAAAATTTTACACAAATTCTGTTTCATATGAGTACAAAAATAGGCCGTTCTGCTAATAACGTGGCGAAATTGGTACCCGTGTGAATTCCAATAGATTGTTGGAAGACCTGGTCTCCAAAAACAACATAGATATTGTCAATCAAAAACTCAAGCATCTTATTGATGCCGACTTCGAATTCAGAGTACTTGTGTGTACAATCAAAATGCTTTTTTAACAAAAGAATTTTGCAAATGACCAATGACGTCACAAGGTGGGAAATGGTTGTGCATAAAGTTGAAAAGTCCTAAATTTTTTAGCTGTTAAGTTTGGTAAAATCTTGTGATTTCAAATTGTCCAAGAGTTCCTTGGAATTTTTAAGTATCAACATCTGATTTACACCACATCTTGAATATATTGTTGCACAGTACTCTTCAAGTTTCTCTTTCACTACTGTTAACTCGAATATCGTAGAGAGGAGTAAAGAAAGAGGCTTGGTTGAACATTTACTAGAACCCGATATGCATTTTTGTTTGTAAGGATTCTTATGAAGTTTCGGAATCCAATATAAAAGTTAATATGATATAAGTTAATATAAAAAGTGAAATAAAATACAATGTTAAAGAAAGTTTTCCAAATGATTCCCTCCTAAGATTTCACACATGGCTAATAAGAAATGACATTATGTACCGTTTTAATGCCCTGTTCACACGGAGAGTTTAATTCGAATTAAACGTAAGTTTACTGTGAATTAGCTTCGCTTAGCGTTCACACGGGGAATTAAATGCGAATTAGTTTAATTCGAATTAGTTTACTGCGCATTAAATTACTTCGCATTATCTCCGTGTGAATGCTAAGCGAAGCTAATTCGAATTAAATTTGGGGGCATGCGTAATGGCAAAATTAAGTCAAATGCGTCATGTCGGTGGTCAGTCTTAAGTACTTGTGCTATTTTTGAGTGAAAAACTAAGAAAAATGTGTTAATCACTAAAATATGTGTACAGACACTGTGACATTATGTCAAATGCATCTGCTTCTGCATAAGGCACAGGCTTTTGGATCGCTTGAAAAAAAAATTGTGTGTAAAAAAAAAAATAAAGGTACTGAACTCTTACACCGGGTACCAAATTGCGCTAATAAAATATTTTTTATTCACATGCTACTTTCGATTTAAATTTATTCATAAATAAACATTCTTCATTTCTACCAAAGCTCCTTCCGAAGTTCTATACTTTTCTCGAGATATTCTGAAATCAATCTCAAAAATGACCTTCTTTCTTTTACTCGACATTAGCTTGGGCCCCTAGCCATTCATATGTAAACAGACAGTGTTTGAAGTGCAGCGAAGAGTTGCATAGTATTTGCAAGATCTTTGAAAAAGACAAACTTAATGTCATTGTTATTTAGATCAAACTTCAAGGTCATAGGGGTGAAATCATTAGCATTTTCAGAAACGTCTTAATAGTCACAGATAATGCACAGCTTATATATAACTGGTTTCATATCATATAAATAAATAGGGCTTTGTTGAAAAGAAGATCCACTTATAAAGATTTTTTTTCTATATATTCAGCTGATATTCCTATTTAGATTTTTAAGCGCTAAGCGCAGCGCAAAGCGCTTTCTGTCAGCGTAAATCTACTTCCGTTCTGGATCCAGCGCCACTATCAGCAAGTTAGATAACTCTTCTTGTTATTCTAAAAATATGCAACTGGAAATCCCTGACTCTCTTCCTGCTATTTTAGTGTACTGATGTCTTACGTGTATTTCTAATAATAGGAAGCAATTAGTAAGGTAAAGCGATATTCCACAGTTAGTAGATAAAAGCAGTTCTGATCATGCTCTTCTCTATACATTATAGTTCATTTAAATCATGTCAGCACACATTACTTTTGTATCATGTAGCTAATAATTGCTGCATCTATTGCGCAAATACTTAATTAAAAGCAGTATATTATTTATCATGTACATGTAATATAGTGATTGAATAAGTACATATAATTTAAAACTCAGATGGGATTTTAATAATTAAGTTTATAAATCTTAAACTGGAAGTGAGTTACTAGTATTCAATATCAAAAAAAAAAATAAAATTGATTAACAATGTACATGATGTAATACTTCCATATTACGGTGTGTTCTTTATAAAATATCCATATAAACAGATAAACTATTATTATCTTTTTCTTCTATACCCTTACTTCAGGCAATGTAACTAAAACAAGCCTTCCTTTTAACACCTTGCACCATGCTGAGAGCTATCAGTGAAGTTGATTTTCGCATCTAAGTATCAATTAGTAGCAGACTGCAATGCATTCATGGACTTTTTAATGTCTTTACTTGTGCTGTACTCTATACTTGTATCATATGGGTAAAACATATATAAATAATTCGAAAGGAAAGGCAGTGTCTGCGGCGGTACAGGCATGCAGGATATGTGGTGGTTGTGTTTTCAACGAATCCATTCAAGTAGTAAAACTTATTTCTCGGAATATTGTGCTTTAAAATTGTGTGTGTAGTGTGCAGGATATGCCGGAAAATGCTAAAACCTTAATTAACGTTCTCAGCAATAGCAGGAATAGGGCTACTGCAATGTTAAGCAAACAAAATAAAACAATGTTGGATATCTTCATAAAGATTTATTAATACTTGAGATTAATATACTTGCATATATTTTCTTTCTCGGTCTCTTGAATTATACTTATTATTGAAATAGCAGAAAATAATGAGCAGTTATTTTCCATATTCCTTTTTAACTAGCACAACAATGCCATAGAGGTGTTTTTCCTCTCAGCATGTTTTGCATGGTAGTGAAGATCATACATACACAAGTAAAGAATGTTGTAAAGCATCAAGCGTCCGTAAAAAAAATACTGAGGCATTTTAAATCATTTTAACAATAGTCAAAAAATGCTTTGGGGTTTAATGAATTTTTTTTTCTAAAGAAGAAAAGTGTAAAAAAAAAAAAATATTGAAAAAAAGTAATATTTTACAAAGGAGTAAAACAAATTGTGATATCAACACAAATATTACTGCAGTATTTGCCATAAATCATGTATTTGAAAATCAGAGATTGAAGGATAGAATCGAAAGATAAATATTATAGTTTTATATTCAAATGTTTATTTACCTATTAAATGTATCTGACAAAAAGGGCGTTAATTCTACGGATGTTCATCTACATAGTGTTTTGTCACATGACGATGTTGCAAACAAGATGCCAATCTTCAATTTGAAACACTCATAAACGCGGAATGAATTTGTTATTAAAAATAATCACCAGAAGATTTTAGCTTTTAGTGTTGCACACAAATGAGAGGAATTTTAGCGACATTTTTAAGTGTTCAAATTTATTTCAAAATATACATTTTCCAGTATCGCTACATTTAAACTTGATTACTTAATAGTACCATCTCCCTTCCAATAAATAACAATTTATACGCAAATGTTACCTCTAACAGATCAGGACTAACATATTTGATTATGTACCAAACAACTGCGCTCGCGCTAGCGCTGTCGCACTGTCCACATATTGCTTAAAATTCATGCAAATTGAAATTCAAAATAATTCTGATGAATTTCAAATCAATATGCTTAGCGCTTCCCAGTACTTCCAGTACTTTGATTTTCTATATATTCGGATGATATATATATACCTATGTATAAAACTTTGATCCCCATCCTAGCCCGGGGGTTATGATTTAGAAAAAAAAACTTGAATCTACACTATGTAAAGAAGGTTTGCTGTAATTGTGTCAAGTTTTTTTGGCCTTATGATTATTGAAAAGAAGAATTTCAAAACAAGCCACTTTAAAATTTCACTATTTTAGAACTTATTATCTCCCCTTGAATTAGGACATGGCCATTAAACGTATAAACAGGCTTCAATCCCCTTCACCCATTAAAGGACTCTTAGTGGCAAGTTTAGTTGAAAATGGCCCAGTGGTTCTGGAGATGTCCAAAATGAAAAAAAAGTTTACAGCTAGACGGGCAGACAGCTAGACGGACAGGCGGACGGAATGTGATCAGAAAGAAACTCAAATGAACTTTAAATCAAGTCAGGTGAGCTAATAAATATGTAGTCACCATACGCCCCACCCCCTCTTTTCGGTTCCTACAGGCTGTACTATATATATTTTAATTCAATACGTATAGTTTCATTCTATTTATACCGTACGATATAATTTTATTTCAGGGATAAAATAAGGGTTAAAATGATAGAGAAACGAAACATATTTCCACCGCTTTATGTGTGATATCCAATGAAATGTCGTGTAAGTAAACACATTCGGTCGCTTTGCTTTACCCACCTGACTGCATCTCATGTGACTTGTATTGAGTTTTATTTTTCATATGATAGTTGACAAGAGTTGAGGACACAAGGTAAACAGTTTGTCATTATTTTTTTCCATGTTAAAGGGCGAAAAAGCCAATTACTTTTTTTGTTGCATTTCCAAGAACAAAGCGCTGCATTTGTACTTTCACTTTACCTTTTCGCCGTAAAATCCTGATGTGCAATAACCAATAAAGACGTATGTATTTATAAAACGGTTTGAAGAGCATGCAGAAATAGCAGGTTACAACAAAACAAGGAAGATTTCAGATTTATGCACAAACATTTTATATTTTAATTTTATGTAGTCTTCTATATGTCTCCAGCTGGTCTCAGTGTCAGTTGGATTAAACCTGGTATGGATTTCTGAAGCAATCCTGCCTGAGATGAGCTGCAAAGCTCTTTGGTCTTATTAGATAAGATGGACAAAAAGAAAACTACGGCTTCAATATTAAGCATTTTTAGAAAAGTTTGTATATGCAGGTGAACTTTGGTATCATATCTTCAACACTGCTACGGTTCCAGAAATAGCATGTTCAAAAAGTGCATGTAGTTGAACTTTGGTACATTATATCTCCAACACCCTTACAGTTCCATATTTAGCAAGTATAGAAAAGTGCATGCATTTGAACTTCCGTGTCTTCTAACCTGAGCACTGATATCTCTTACTAATTATTTTTTTTGAGTATTTTTTCCTCAATTTATCGAATCTTTAGATAACTTTTAGTTTTTTCTTGGTCCCAGCAAGTTAAGAGTTCCATCTGGAAATATTATTAACTGTGCCAAAAGCTGGGTGGGGTAGGGGGTGGGGTGGTGGTGTATGTTTGTAAAGAAGTGAAGGGGGACCTGGAAACTGGTCCGCATGCATCAGTTTCTTAACTATCACAAAGCATTCAAGTATCTTACTCTAGATATCATTTATAACTTTACTGTAATGTTATCTCAGGTGTTATATACATGATATATAAAAGGTATGTATTTGATAACTTATATGACTTTACAAACATAAGTAGGTCAAATCAAATTGATAATACCACGGGATTCTCATCTCGTGACCGAATTATCTCTCAAGATATCCAGCAAGTAGAATATTGACACAAGTCAGGACAAGGTGATCTTTTAAAATTCATTCCTTCCTTAAAAACTATCGCCTCTCACTAACTATACTTATCTATCATGTTTATATATTTTTAGATGCGCGGCTTTCTACTCCTCCCATTGGTTGCGGCGGTCGTCCACTGTGATACACTTTATTTCCATCCCAGGGAGAATCCCGCCGTTCCCGGGACTCCGTGTCAGGACGGGAAATCCTTCTGTCCGGACGGGAGCACCTGTTGTGTCCAGGAGACAGGGGAATATGGATGCTGTCCTCTCGCTGATGTAAGAATACTGTAAATCACTCTGTTTTTGCAACACCTGATTTATAATTTTAAGGGATACTATTATATGCGAGAATCAAATTTTTGCTAGCACACTGTCTTGTGTAATTATGCGAAAATAAAGTTACCGCTAATAAAAAGTGATTTACAATACAGGAAGGGTTGTAAGAATACATGAAGGGTTTAGAAATATGTCTAGAATTAGAGATTGAAAGGTAATCGATTGACCAATGCTGGAAAATGTAGAAATCTAACCAACCCTGTGCAGAAAATCTTGCGCCATTATTTTCAATACAGGATCTGTAGCATTATAAAATGGTCAAAGACTTAAATATAAACCATTATGCTACAGTTCTGCAGGTAAGGTAATCATGGTAATATATATAAACATTAATTGTTTGATAAATTGCAATATCCATGAATTTAAAATTGATTAATTAAAAGACATTCACATCTTACATATACACAAACATTACCATGTACCTTTCCCACTGATAATTTTTTTTTTTTTTAGATATTCTCAATTTTAAATTGTAGTAATATGAGATATGTTCTTACACAAAAAATCAGCATTCATTACCAGTAATTTATGCTCAAAACCCTGTTATGTATGCCCCTAACTTTTCTTAAAAAAAAAAAGTCACAAAAAGGGGGAAAGGTAGGTCCTTGGGCCCCTTCAGATTTTCTATTGAGTACACCAACAGTAATGCTTGAGAAAATAAGGAAGTTGTAAAGGGTATAAAGAGTAAGAAATCTACTTGATATATACTATTTATTTAAATAAACAAGGTCCTATAAATTTATCTATTAAATATATTCTAGATAGCTATTTATTTTTCTTTGGAGGAGTCATCACATTAATAAGAAGAGCTAATAAAAGTTGATAACAGGATCTTATTTTTTGAAAGTGAAATTGTTGAATTCATTGTTAATAGTTTCCTTTTTGAAATAAAGCTTGGGAATTCCTTTCAGTTCAGGAATTAATATACAAACAAAATAATGTAAATAGGTGAAGTTTTATAGCTTCCTGAACATGTTGAACAGGAAGTTTTTGAGAAATGACATTTCGTGATGATGATGCATTGATAAAATTGCTTATTTAAATGTCATGTACAGAAAGGTTGGGATAGTTACAGATGAATTCTCTTTCATGTGGTGTCAGCATTATCATTGAAAACAAAATGGAGGAAGGTTAATTTATGATATATACATTACCTTGAACATTTGAGAGGAATCATTCTAAAAATTTACATTGCCTAGAATGATGTTAGGTTCAGCATTTTTATTCGCCCTAGTTGAAGATTTGGGAGTAAGTCAGTAATAAGTCAGTAACTGTCTGTTTTTCCACAGAAACTGTAAGCTTGGTAGGAGCTAGGGTTTTTATTCATATTTCACCCTGTATATAACTCATTCTTCAGTACTGAGTTCAGATGTGTGACCAAAGGGCTATTTTTTAAAAATAATCAATTTCATAATTTATGTATATTAATTGAGTCAGTACCCTTCCTGCTTCTGAAAAAAAATGATGGGAAGATAATCTGAAGTCTTAAAGAGGAGACAGGTGTCCAAATGTACAAGCATGTCTGAAATTTTATGTACGTAACTTGGTGTCCACAGTGACTGTTTTTTAAATCAATAAGCTATTCTTTTCTGGTGAATCCTTTTTGAAGTATATAAACACTAGTTTGCATGTTTTATTGCATGACTTATTTCTGTCTTATTCCATTATAATTAGAAAATATATCCAAGATTACCAATGGACACCGTTACTTACATAAGCACTAAACAAGTAACATGTTACTAGAATTTAACAAGTTGTTAAAATATGAAAATAATGTAATCAATAAGGTATGATGAAATCATGTTTAATGTTTTATTAAATGGAATTTATTTAAAAAGTCACAAATTTTATTTCTGGTTTCAAAAAAGGAGAAATTATGTAAGTAACATGGACACCTAACTCCGAATCAGGCTTTAAAAAGGAACAAAAAAAAAAACAAGACAATCGAACACTTGTCTTTAATACTTTTAATATTTCATTTCAAAGCTTAATAATAGACTAGCTTTCAAAGAGAATTAATGCAGACAAGTAAACTGTCAGATGGATTGCTAATATCCTAGGTCTTCTATTTTGAGTCTTGGATCTTTGTGTCATTGTTACGAACATAATTCAGTCATTTCTTGTAAATCTGAAAGAAAAAAATATATATAAAACAAAATACAACATGATGTAATCAACACATATGCTGTTTAATCATATTTATTATATATCCTTGATAAAACCAGAAAGAAGGCAATTAAAGCACAAATTATGTCACTACTTCAGGTTTTCGTGTCTCTGTTACGAACGTAATTGCGTGAATGATATGGCAATATTAAAACAAATTTCAATAAGTATTCATCCTTTGATAAGAACAGAACAAAACTAACAAATATAGAATAAAATATAGTACAATATAACTTTATCATTAATAGATTATACAAATAATGCAAAAACACATGTCCGTAACAAAAGATGCGATTCAAAAGTCAAATGTTAAACCGAAAGTACTCGACTCGGACAGATTTATGCATTTTGTATGGTCATAAGTGACGTATTTTAGTTTCTGATTAATAGCTACATGGTATAAAGATACAATGACTGAATTTATGTGTTAAACATTCACTAAAATTGATACAATATAAAAATACTTACCGAATCTATTATGTACGTAACTTCTTTTTTTCCACATGGACACAATGAGCATCGCCATGTTTTTTAGCAGACAGCTGCGCAACCTTTCTACTTTCGTTTTCAATTTATAATTATACCACTGCTATGGACTTCCTGAGCCAAACTTATGATTCATTGGCTGTTATTTTAGCAATCATACTGAAAGCTATTATTTTCATAACGGTCAAGACACCAAACATTTTACAATCAGAGATCATTTTAAAATTACAAAAAGAACTGAGTTATGTTCATGAAGCATATTGTTAGAAATAATTTATCACACATACTCAATAATTAAACACAGAAATTGAACTTGACAAATTATTTAATGTTTGTAGAGAGGTCTTAAAAAGTTCAATGCATATGGACACCATGCGTTACGAACATAAGCTACAAATTTTTAAGTTAAGAAAAAAATAATTAGGATAATTTTAGCATGTTTGACAAAATAAATATATTATTTCATTTATATGCTAAGATAATGTACACATATATCATGCCAAATGATTTTATTTTTAAATAAAACAATATCTTTATGCCTATTTGAAAATTGTGTCACATTTTCTGCAATTGAAATCCCCTAAATGCAATACAATGATCAATATTTTTTTATTCCTCAACTCATATCCATAAAACTATTTATACTATATCCTTGCACAAGTATCAAATCATATCAATATCAATCTATCTGCTTACACTTTATTTATTGGAAAATAAAGGAGAAAAGAAATATATTTTAAAAATTCACCAGTATTGAAGAATGAGTTATATATAATTATTAATTCTTTGTGATTAGATATTTCTTTGTTTACTGTAGATCACTTAATTTTTTTGAAACCCGATTTTCATGAAATAGCCATTAACTCTTTATTAGAGAGAAAAATTTTTTCAAGAATTGTGGTTATTGCTCTATATTATCTTTAGAAATATTGATACTGGTATATGCTAGTTTTTCAAGATCATTAATTTAAAAATTCTGTATTAACACTTTCGTTTCCGTGCAATATCTTGAGAAGCTTTTGAGCTTTTGCAAGGACATTTTATACCACTACTCCAATGGCCTAAGGAAAATCCCAGTTTATTTTGAGGTCAATAGGTCTAAGGTCAAGGTCGTAAATTCATACATTCTTTGAGTGCTTGTGTTAAACTTTCATTCTGAGGTGATATCTCAAGAAGCTTTTGAGTATTTGCCAATTTTGCAATTGAATTTTATACCATAACTCCCTATGGCCCCTCCTGCCCTTCTTAAAATGCCCCACCCACCTCGACTCTTATGCCCCCCCCCCCCCCCTTTCCAGACATTCTCTTCTTTTAATTTCCTTAAGGGGGATACAGGTTCTCTGAATTAGCTTGTTGATTTAAGCTATTTATCTTGCTTTAATTATAATTTACACTGGATCTAACATATACTTTTCAGCATCAATTGATTGAAGCAGGTCTATTACCATGAACATGATATGATGAAACAGTAAGGCCTACTAATGCAAAGTAGCATGTTGATGCATCAAGGGATGCATATTACAAGACTTTTTGAATGTGCTGGATTTGATCTAAATTTTCCGGATGCTTAAGGATATCCGATCCTCAGCCAGGAAGGATAACTCCAAAAATTAATATTTAATTTGAAATGCATCAAAATGAAGCTTGAAAATGGAATTCTTTCATGCAACAATTTTCATTTTATTCATCTTTATAAGATTCAAAGGTTTTTTGAAGTCTTAGAAAAGGTCTTATAAAAGTTGACATTTTTACCCTATGAAAGGAAAAAAAATAATATAGTTTTAGAGAAATAAGATTTTCTTGAATCCAGCCTTAGATACCAATGCTTAATAGCATGATATGAAATAAGAAGTGATATGAGGTGTTTTGCAATGATAGCAAAAAGTTTTACACTATGTATTATAGAATACTTGACAGAAATAGGAGACAAAAAATACTAAATAAGTATAAAAATCATGACAATTTTTCTGAATGCCTGGATACCTATCATTTTTTTACCGAAAATATATTTTTGATCAATTTGCAATTAAAAAAAATGCATTGCTGATATTCCAATTCGCCTTTTCTGCAAAAATATTGTTGATTTGACATTTTCCCCTAAATAATAGGATTAATATGATTTACTTTCATCTTCAACTTTAAAGAAATACTGTGGATACATAACTTTGTGGATTCAAAGATAATTATTTATGAATATTTTTGATAACTTAACTTCTAATTTTATAAACCTGAGGATCGGACTACCTTAACCCAGGTTAAAGTTTTTTGAGCTTACTCATGAATACCAGTATTACTTCAGAATCTATTTGTACCATACTTACAAGAATGATAATTCATAGAATGAACACTCTCAGTCTTGTTCAGATGCTGATTTGACTCACATTTTCCGTATAAGCATGATGAGTGAGCAGGTTAAAGTTTATGATATTTATAATGCAGGCTAATTCTGGCCAATATTGCTTCAATTTAAGCCCTCTGTAGACCAAACTGGGGTGGATGATGCATCAAATGATGAACATTATATGAGGCTTGCTTAGATTTGACATACATTTTCTGGATGATTGAACAGTTTTCAGTTTTCAGACAATTTAAGTTCATTTCCAATTTGGGACCAAATTGCTTAAAGGCTTCAACTAGAGATGCACTCTTCTAGTTAGTTAGTTGTGCGTGGAATTTTGCTTTACTTAGAAATGAAATTTATTGACTGAGTTCATCTGTGTTTTTTTCCTTTTTTTAAGTCAAATTTGCATCAATATTGCGATTTTCCATTTTGTTAGGCTGTATGCTGTAGCGATAAAATCCACTGTTGCCCGATGGGATACATCTGTAATATAACCACGTCCCAGTGTCATAAAGGGGGTCTCATCCAATCCTTAACCTACGTATACAACCAGGTCAGAGAAAAGGTGGTGGGCATCAGATTTTGTTTTTCATGTTCATTTCAGTGTAGTGTTGCTTCGGAAACAATTTTATGTCACTTGCAGTAACAATATAAAATTGATTAGAAAGAGGTACCGTAAAATGTTTCGTTGTCAAATCGTAATGAAATGCAATTTTTAAAAAAAATTAATCAAGGCAATTATTTATTTGCAGTGTTTTATATGTAACTAGCATAATGTTTTACCTCCACATCACACCATCCCACCACCACCCAAATTTTGTACACTAATAGAGAAATCATTTTGACTCAAATGTGACCTGGAAATATTTGTATTTGACTGTATGCGTTAATTAAGACAGTGATTTGGTAAGTCATCAAGTTTATTGTTGCACAAAGTGTACACAGTTCATGTTCACAGGTAATCATATGGTATATTTAAATGCATGGTGTCTACTGAAAAAATGAAACTCTTAATAAGAAAATGTAATTTTTTTTGCATAGAAAGTTTCGCTGAAGTTAGAGAACGTAGTTTGTCCTGATGGTCAGCATGAATGTAAAACTGGACAGACTTGCTGTAAACTGTCTAGTGGAGAATATGGGTGTTGTCCATTACCAAAGGTAAATCAAAATTTATGAATAAAAAAAATTAATAATGTGAACCCGAATTGATTAAATCTCTCTTTTAGATTCTATTTCAATTGAATAAATCATTGTGTGTAAAAGAACATGGTGAAAATTTAAAAAATAATTTCAAACAAAATTTATACATGATGCAAGAGTGTACAATTTTACATAGCACTTAAATTCTTATCAATGCAGCAACAATACTTATTATGAAGTTTGAAATTTATTATGAATGGGATATGAATGTTTGCATTTTATTAGAAATGATTTTTGTATTCTACTTGATTTAATCAGGCAGTCTGCTGTAGCGATGGTAAACACTGTTGTCCAGAAAGCACGACCTGTGATACTGGTACCGGAAAGTGCCAGAGAGGGAACCAGCTGACAGTGGACTGGTTTGAGAAAGAACCTGCTCTGTTAAGATCCGAGAATGTGGTTTGCCCTGATGGTCAACATGAATGTAAGACTGGACAGACTTGCTGTAAACTGTCCAGTGGAGGATATGGGTGTTGTCCTGTTCCAAATGTAAGTTTCAATTTTCTAACTTCTAAACTTTTTTTTTAAAAATTGTTTAACATCCCTCTGGAGATCTTTTCACTCATATGGAGACACCATCACTTGCCAGCTGTCAGCACTCATGGGCATTGAGCAGTGAGGGATCTTTTTCATGCCAGCACCTACTGGGACATGGGACCTCTGTTTACACGGTCTCATCTAAAGGACCGGTGTCCATGTCCCACAGTGGGACTCAAACCCGTCACTTAAGGATTGACTCCTTACTTGGTGACTCTAGAGCAGACACTCAAAATACTGTGCCATGTGGTGACTTTCTAACCTTAACATAGTAAAAACATTTATTTATAATGTTCACATAATCAGTATATTACCTCTATTTTAATCCCAGAACATGTTTGGTTTTTTTTTCAGGCTGTGTGCTGTAGTGATGGTAAACACTGCTGTCCTTCTGGGACTACTTGTGAAGTGTCATCAGGCAAATGTAAAAGAGGGTCCAGTCTAGTCATGGACTGGTTTGAGAAACAACCTGCTCTGTTCAGATCCGAGAATGTGGTTTGTCCTGATAGTCAACATGAATGTAAGACTGGACAGACTTGCTGTAAACTGTCTAGTGGAGGATATGGGTGTTGTCCTATACCAAATGTAAGATAATGGCATAGCTATGTGTATTGCAGTCCTTATAATTACTGTAGTAAAATATGAAACATGTACTGAAGGGGATTAAATGTGAACATGTATACTTGTTTTGAACATTATATTGTTCTTACTTTCAAATCAGCAAAAATGAACCTTATTTGTTAACGGAAATGCATTTTTTCTGTATTAATTGTTTACATAATTTTCTCACAAAATATGGAAAAAGGAGGTTTTTCTATCTAATCGGAATAATAATTTGAATCGGAGGAAAATTTGATAAAGAAAATAAAAAAGTTATAAAATATTTTCAATTTATTGCCCTTAAGAAGGGGGAATCATATATCCCTCAACAAATGAAGGGGTACTATCTCTCTATGCAGGGGATAGATCTTTTAAAACACCTTAAGCAAAGGACACTTGTTTTCTTCTTTAGGACCATTCGTATCTCATAAGAGAGGACTTTTCTTTGCTTCCTTAGTATATGGCAATACTTATCTCCCCCTTGTAAAGGGCAGTTTTAAGCTCATCTGAGTTTTCCTAATAACCCATTGCTTGTCATATGTCCGTCTGTCTAGCTGTCTATCTGTAAGTTTTTCACATTTTCAACTTCTTCTCAAGAACTGAATGTGGTGAAGACCAGCATGGTCAAAGTAACTCAGGTAAACACTGTGGCCCAATGACTTCTAGGTATCTCCCTTATAAGGACGACTCTTATCACGATGATGAAATATGAAGATTGGAAGTGAATTATTTATTTTTTCAGGCTGTGTGCTGTAGTGATGGTAAACACTGCTGTCCTTCTGGGACTACTTGTGAAGTGTCATCAGGCAAATGTAAAAGAGGGTCCAGTCTTGTCACAGACTGGTTTGAGAAACAACCTGCTCTGTTAAGATCCGAGAATGTGGTTTGTCCTGATGGTCAACATGAATGTAAGACTGGACAGACTTGCTGTAAACTGGCCAGTGGAGGATATGGATGTTGTCCTGTACCAAATGTAAGTTTTTCATTTTTGAACCTTTATTTACTTAGTAAAATCATTTCTTTATGATGTCAACATGCTCGGTATACCTCTATTTTAATCCCAGAACATGTTTGTATTTTTTTTCAGGCTGTGTGCTGTAGTGATGGTAAACATTGTTGTCCTTCTGGGACTACTTGTGAAGTGTCCTCAGGCAAATGTAAAAGAGGGTCCAGTCAAGTCACGGACTGGTTTGAGAAACAACCTGCTCAGTTAAGATCTGAGAAAGTTGTTTGTCCTGATGGTCAGTCAGAGTGCAAGACAGGACAGACTTGCTGTAAATTGTCCAGTGGACAGTATGGATGCTGTCCTCTACCAAAGGTTAGTTTGTAGAAAGTTAAACTTTAGACTGTACAAATAGCAATTTATATTGCAAATGCCAATACTCTGTCTGCAATTTTGTTTGATTATGTCTGAGATTCACAATGAAAATGAAATTTTAACTCTAATACAAAATACACATGTGAAACTTAGGATTTGCAAATATTAACTAAAGAATCTAATCTTAACCAATTAATCCATTTTGTAAACCGACTTCTTATACAATTAAAGTATATTATTGAGGGAGTTAGCAAGATTCCAGTACCCCAAAGCCAGGACTATTTCCCGAGGCACAGCACAGTTTTTAATTGTTTTATTATACCATAACAAAAATAAAAAAAATGGAGGATTACAAATGACGGGGAATTAGCTTTTTGGAGTGGGGATTAGCTCACTTGACTAACGCAAGGGGATTAGTCCAATAACATATTATACCAATTAATACAAAAGTAAAATGTAGAGGATTACGGAAAACTGGGAATTAGCTTCCGAAGCAGGGATTAGCTTATTTGAATAACACAGAGATTAGTCCGTTCACAGTTATTTCTAGGGAATTATTCACATTTTACTAGGCAAAAAAAAATTAATAAATTGTTTCTCAGGCACCGCCGCATCAGTTCAAAAACGGCCGCATTGATCAATTTTATTGACATATGGAAAAGGGAAATAACCCAATTTTCTATTTTTCCAAGTTGAAAAAGAAAATCGAGTTATTGCCCTTTTCATAAATGCTAAGAAAGACGTTTTTATTAGAAAAACTATATCTTTCTTCTAAATCTACAGTATTTTATCAGTTAACTTTTAAATAAATGTTTGGAATAACATTATTTAAAGTTGAATATATATTATAACTAATTTCAGAGAACAAAACTTAAGAGTTAGTAGATATCATCATTTTATTGAACAAATGACTTTAAAAAAAGGTGTAGACTACATCCTGCTTCCAAAAAAAAAAAAAGCCTGCCTGCCGCATTGAATTTAGAATTTTTTGGCCTGAGAAACAATTTATTAATTTTTTTTGGCCCTATCTATTCTTTATGTAGGGAAAAATAAGTAGAGGTATAATAAGTAATTCTAATACATTCTTTTTCCACTATGGAAGAGTTACACTTCTTCGTGTGGTCTTTTGTGAAAAAGCCGGAAAATGTACAAATCTCATGGGGTTTCTCGGATAAAGGTAACATAAACATGTATAATAATTTATTATACAATATATAGAATGTTGATGAACAAATCAGAATGAAATGTAAATGAAATATTTTATTGTTGTGGAATTTAGATACATCAAGAGTAGGAATGACAACAATATCAATTTATATTTTATTGTTGATTGTATGTATCTGTTCATCCTGTGGTACATCTAAATACAATACACATGCCTAGGAAATGTATATATTTTTGTATTTAATGGATGATAAATTTAAGGCTCATGCTCTCTTACATATGTCTTTTAGTTCTTCTATTCTTTAGTTGGAATAACAAATACATTTAACATTTAAAATTGGATTGAGATTGGCATGTTTTGTACTATCCACAATGCCATGCTGTCAAAGTCAGATGACTTAAAGTGCCTCTAATTTTGAAGAGTGCACACATAGAAATCATTATATGTAAAGCAACAGATTGTTAACCAACTAAACCAAATGTTTACTAACAAATCTAATTGTTAAGTAGCTAATCTAATTGCTTATAATAATTAATTATCTAACTGTTAACAAGCTATTTGTTAAGGAACTATATAATTGTTAACCAATTGATCTAATTTTGCAAACAAATGAAGAGATTGACACTATATTGTATAGTAATTAATTATAATATTGACTTAAAAGCATTTGGCTTTATCCAGAAAAAGTCATACAATTCATTGAAGCTTCTGGTTTAAGTACTGATTTAAGTATTGATTTGCTTCTGTAAAATGTCTACAGTTATTATTTGTCCCATTGAGCTCCAGACTACCAAGTTTGACTATAATTACCTTGTAAGTAGAAATTTTAGCGAGACGCAAATTTAACAATTTGTCCTTTAATATTGGTATTTTATTTTTAGCGATTTTGAAAACTTCACTAAAGAAGCTATTACAAATAAAGTGCAATTAAATTTAGCGATATTAAATTTTAGCAATCTCAGGTTAATAATGCTATAGTTAAATTCTTGCTAAAATTCTGCTTATACGGTATTTTTATTTATTTGATGAACTGTACATAATTATATGTTTCTTTTTTCAGGCAGTGTGCTGTAGTGATGGTAAACACTGCTGTGCAGAAGGAACAACTTGTGATGTGTCCTCAGGGAAATGTAAAAGAGGGTCCCATTTAGTCATGGACTGGTTTGAGAAACAACCTGCTGTGTTAAGGTCAGAGAATGTGGTTTGTCCTGATGGTCAACATGAATGTAAGACTGGACAGACTTGCTGTAAACTGTCCAGTGGAGGTTATGGGTGTTGTCCATTACCAAAGGTAAATTTTATCTTGGTAGTTCAAAAGGATTTGTATAATTATTCATTACAAAGTGTATTCATTAAAGCCTCTTTTAAGACTCTAAAACACATATACATAAATCACTGTTATGTACAATCAATTTTTTAAATGAGGCCAGTCATTAATTAACCAAAAGGTTGATGAAATTAGGATATCAAGAGTCTCATTTGAAGTCATCTTGAAGTCACAATGACCTAATCAGCAAATACAATACATGTATATCATTAGCTCAAATGCAGAGCGACATTTTTCATACTAATTGCTAGCTATATAGGCCACTATTTATTCTGAGACTTCTAAAGATTTTTCCATTAACTCGACCATGACAAGCACATAGTAGGTGTGGCCAATTGACAGGGGATGCTTACTTCTTCATGGCATCTAATCCTGCCTCTGATGTTTTTTGAGATCTGTGTTTTCTCTGCTCTTGATTTATGTTTAAATGCTCTTTGAGCTGGAACACTGTTCTTACTATTCTTCATATTTTGTTATTCCTATTTATTCTTTAATCAGGCAGTCTGCTGTAGCGATGGTAAACATTGCTGTCCAGAAAGCACGACCTGTGATACTGGTACCGGAAAGTGCAAGAGAGGGAACCAGTTGACAATGGACTGGTTTGAGAAAGAACCTGCTCTGTTAAGATCCGAGAATGTGGTTTGTCCTGATGGTCAACATGAATGTAAGACTGGACAGACTTGCTGTAAACTGTCTAGTGGAGGATATGGGTGTTGTCCTGTACCAAATGTAAGTTTTGATTTTCAACAAATCTTACTATTGAATACCTTGTATTTGCTTATTTTGGCTTTATTCTGTGACGTTACATCTTTCTATTTACAGAAAGAAATTGAAATTAATAAAATGTTTGTTAGAGATACAATATATTTGAAGCATTTTCTAGCTACATGTACATTCTGGAATCATTAAAACCACTAATGTTATCCATAGTGGTTGAAGACCTGAAGGGTTTCTGTTTTGTCAAGTTATAAATTATATTAAATTTTTTCACTGAACCCACCAAAAAAGTAATTAATGGACCAACAAGCAATTAAAAGCTATTCTCAAATTGAAACTTTTTCAATGTTAGGACTCTGAAACATTAATACTTGCTTTGACAGACACAGCCCTTTAGGTCAAAAAGATTAGCAATGATCAATTACATTGAAAAAGGGAAATAACTCAATTTTATATGTTTCCAAGAACTTGTCCAGTTCTTGGGATTTTGAATTTTTTTTTACTTAGAAATGCATGGTAAAGATTAATTTCTTTTTTAGCCTAATATAGATTTTTTTCTGTTTTGCATTCTAGTCAGATTATCGGTTACATTGATTTAAAGAATGTTGCTTTTTTCAGGCCATATGCTGTAGTGATCTTAGTCAGGCTGTATGCTGTATTTATCTTTTTCAGGCGGTATGCTGTAGTGATGGCAAACACTGCTGCCCACAGAACACGAAGTGTGAAGTCTCCTCCGGGAAGTGTACAAGGGGTGACAGTCTGGAGCTCCACTTGATCGAGCAGCTTCCAGTTGCCAAACCTCCACAGGGAGGTCTTCTATCTTCTGTCATGTGCCCTGACGGCGCCTCAGAGTGCAAGGATGGGCAGACATGTTGTCTGTTAACCAGCGGCAAATATGGCTGCTGCCCAATCCAGGACGTATGTTTTCTTAATCAGCAATATATGAAATATATACAAGTGGAAATTTATCTTGAATATCATTGGTTTGTAAAAGTAATAAATCATAGGACCTACATATTATTTGAAGTATCTGTCACAATATCTTCTAGATAAACAAATTTTCTCGAGCTGACTACATGACTGCCACAGATAATTATGTGAAAATGATAAAGTTTTCGCAAAAAAGGTGATTTTAAGTACATAGCACCTGGAACGTTAACAACATACAAACGAACAAATGTAGCACAAAGATCTGTTCCATTTAACAGGCTGTCTGCTGTTCAGATCATATCCACTGCTGCCCACAAGGAACAAGGTGTGACCTGCAGGAACAGAAATGTATCGGGCACGGGGAAAGTCTAGGGATCATCAGCATGGACATGGTCCAGATAAAAGAGGGGAAATCCCAGGAATCCCATCCCTTGACCCCTCTAACAGCAAATGTTGAATGTCCTGATGGCCAATCAGAATGCAAGACAGGGCAGACATGTTGTAAACTGTCCAGTGGAAAATATGGGTGCTGCCCCCTGCCAAAGGTAAATGAAGACAGTTGTGTTTTTACCTCACCTGAGCCAAAGGCTCAAGTGAGCTTTTCTGATCACAATTTGTCCGTTGTCTATCTGTCTGTCTAGCTATCTGTAAACTTTTCACATTTTTGACTTCTTCTCTAGAAAAGCTGGGCCAATTTCAACCAAACTTGTTACAATGTATCCTTGGGTGAAGGGGATTCAAGTTTTTTCAAATGAAGGGCCACGCCCTCATTCAAGGGGAGATAATTAGGAATTAATGAAAATTTGGTGGTATGTTTTAAAAATCTTCTTCTCGAGAACCACTGTGCCAGGAAGGATGAAACTTGAGGGGAAACATCCTCAGGTAGTGTAGATTCAAGGTTGTACAAATCATGACCCCCAGGGGTAGGGCGGGGCCACAATGGCCGACCAAAGTTTTACATAGAAATATATAGGAAAATTCTTTAAAAATCTTCTTTTCAAGAATAACAAGGCCATAATTGATTATATTTATATGGAAGCATCCTCAGGTAGTGTAGATTCAAGTTTGTTCAAATCATGACCCCCGGGGGTAGGGCGGGGCCACAATGGCCGACCAAAATTTTACATAGAAATATAAAGGAAAGTTCTTTAAAAATCTTCTTCTCAAGAATAACAAAGCCATAATTGATCATATTTAATATATGGAAGCATCCTCAGATAGTGAAGATTCAAGTTTGTTCAAATCATGACCCCAGGTGGTAGGGCCGGGCCACAAATTATTGCCAGTCAAAGTTTTACATAGACATAGAAAGGAAAATTCTTTAAAAATCATCTTACCAAGAATAGCAAAGCCATGATTGGTAATAGGACTACCTTTGGATTTAAACTATTCAATAATAAACCAATTTCTACTTTTTCCTAGCCACAGTGCTCAGGTGAGCGATGTGGCCCATGGGCCTCTTGTTAATAGATTGTTTATCGAAGATTGATGAGGCAACTGTTTTATGAAAATTCTCCCGAGAAATAAAAATTTTCTGAATAGCTACATACAGCTGTATAGGTAAAACAATTAATTCTTTTATAGAAACATTTTTTTATTCAATATTAACAGCTCTTTGAAAATAAAAGAAATTTTGTGATGTGAAAATGATCCTTAAGTTTATAATTTTTTGACCAATGTGTTGTGCTGGCATGAAGCAGTGCTGCATTTTCATTGGCTGATGATTTTATTACACAAGCAAAGTGCAGGGCTGATATGAGGCATTGCTGTATTTTCATTGGCTGATGTTTTGGGGAAACAGGCTGTGTGCTGTGCTGACATGAGGCATTGCTGCATTTTCATTGGCTGATGATTTTGCTACACAGGCATTATGTTCTGCTGACATGAAGCAGTTCTGCATTTTCATTGGCTGATGTTTTTTTTTGTTACACAGGCTGTATGTTGTGCTGACATGAGAAATTGCTATATTTCATTGGCTAATCAGAACAGTTATAAGTCATTGCTGTATTTTCATTTGCTGATGTTTTTTGTTACACAGGCTGTGTGCTGTGCTGACTTGAGGCATTGCTGTGTTTTCATTGGCTGATCAGTACTGATATTAAGCATTGCTTTATTTTCATTGGCTGATGTTTTTTAGGCTGTGTGCTGTGCTGACATGAGACATTGCTGCCCCGAGGGAACCACTTGTGAAGTTTCCTCAGGGAAGTGTAAGAGGGGAGATAACATACTGATGGACTGGTTCCAGAAGTTACCTGCAGTGGTCAAGGCAGAAAGTGTTATGTGTCCTGATGGTCAGCATGAATGTAAAGATGGACAGACATGCTGCAAAACTGCTAGTGAACAATGGGGATGTTGTCCTTTACCAAATGTAGGTCACATTTTATATCATAATCTTTATCTCAGTCATGCATCATTCATCATCCTTCATTTGAAATCCTTGTTTATTTCTTCTTAAATTGATTTAAATACCTCTTAAAAAAAAGAAATTTATGTTTTCCAGGCTGTTTGCTGTAGTGATGGTAAACACTGCTGTCCTTCTGGGACTACTTGTGAAGTGTCATCAGGCAAATGTAAAAGAGGGTCCAGTCTTGTCACGGACTGGTTTGAGAAACAACCTGCTGTGTTAAGATCCGAGAATGTGGTTTGTCCTGATGGTCAACATGAATGTAAGACTGGACAGACTTGCTGTAAACTGTCTAGTGGAGGATATGGGTGTTGTCCATTACCAAATGTAAGAGTAAAGTCTAAGAACTTAGTCGTTGAATATATTAATTATTGTTAGCCCAGTGAAATTAATGAATAGTTTCTCAGGCCATAAATTTTAAATTCTTAGTGGCAGGGAAGTTCTTTTTTGTTTGGAGGTAGGTGTTCTAACTTTTTATAATGCAAGTCATTCAACAAAATGACAATATCAACCAATTCTTTGTATTTTTGTTCTTTTACATTATTTATTATATGTATTTAACTTTAAATAATGCTATTTCAAATATTAGTTTAAAAAATAATTCATAAAATACCATATTACAAGATTGATTGATTGATTGTATATTGTTTAACGTCCCTCTCCAGAATATTTCACTGATATGGAGACATCACCATTGCCGGTGAAGGACTGCAAATTTAGGCCTATGCTCGGCACTTACGGCCTATGAGCAGGGAGGGATCTTTATCGTGCCACACCTGCTGTGACACGGGGCCTCAGTTTATACGGTCTCATCTGATGGACCGCCCCATTTTAGTCGCTTTTTACGACAAGCAAGGGGGTACTGAGGACCTATTCTAACCCGGATCCCCACGGGACACCATATTACAAGAAAAATATTATTGTTTATCTAATTAAAATGTCTTTAATTCGCATTTATGAAAAGGGAAATGACTCGATTTTTTTTTTTTTTTTTTACTCAGAAAAATTGAAAATTGAGTTATTTCCCTTTTTCAAAATATACATATAAATTAAACTTGCCAGACCTGCCTACCCTTCCACTTATGGCATAATTCTTATGCTTTTTGTCACTAAATTACACAGTTTCGCAATTGCAAACAATTTTAAGCTATAAGCGTCAGACCTTACAATTTTGTGCAATGGGCTGTAATCTTTTTTATATCTAAATGGTTTTCAAAATTAGTATTGCTTTCAAATTAGGCACACAGTACATGCCCAGCAATTTGGAAGATGCAAATGTGCCAGAAACTTTTGTAAAGAATTACCCTGTATATGTGCTATTAATTCTACTAGTACGACTAAAGTAGTTGTGATAGGCTAGCTTTTGACCAAATATGTCCATGTGATGTTAGAGGTTTAAGACATGAGGGGATGTTAAGATGTAGATATTCAACCTCTTCAAATAACATATAATTTGTGTATAGAACAAAGGATTTACAAAATTTAATGGTTTTCCAAAAATGTTTACATCAATATTATATATACAGTGTACAACATAGCATCTTATTTTAATTATATAGAATCCAAGTTTGAAATTATTTAATCAAAAAAAGAAATAAATTATGCCATTGTCCTACAAATTGCACCAAAATAAGGGTCTAGATTGCACCTGTGGGATAAAAAAGGTAGACAGCTCTGAATTGATCAATACTGCAGTTACCTGATGCAGCAGTGCCTGAAAAACTATTAATTTTTTGGGTCTTACCTAATCATTGTTCATTGAAACATGATTGAAATGTATGTTTTTCAGGCTGTGTGCTGTAGTGATGGTAAACACTGCTGTCCTTCTGGGACTACTTGTGAAGTGTCCTCAGGCAAATGTAAACGAGGGTCCAGTCTAGTCACGGACTGGTTTGAGAAACAACCTGCTCTGTTGAGATCCGAGAATGTGGTTTGTCCTGATGGTCAACATGAATGTAAGACTGGACAGACTTGCTGTAAACTGTCTAGTGGAGGATATGGGTGTTGTCCTCTACCAAATGTAAGAATTCTATTTAAAAACTTTAGTTATTGAATACATTTTATTTATTATTGTCAGCCAAAAAAAAAAATTAAATTAAGAGTTTCTAAGGCCAAAAATTTCATAATTCTGGTGGCAGGGAGGTTCTTTTTTTTTTTTTTTAAGGCAAGTGTTATACCATTTTTTTCTTGCCTGTCATTTAAGAAAATAAAAATTTTAACCGAATCTTAGTATTTCTGTTCTCTTACATTTTCATACCCCCCCCCCAGCTTGAAAAGCTGGAGAGTTTATAGTAATTGGTATGTCCGTTCGTCTGTCCATCCATCTGTTATGCTTTGGGGAACCAATCTCTGATCTGCAACTCCTCTTATACCACTGAATGAAATTTAATATACCACTGAATGAAATTTAATGAAACTTGCAAAAAATCTTTATTATATATTGCCATTGTGCACCTCCTTTTTTTTTTTTTTTTTTTTTTTTTACTTTTTTGATCAGACACATATTTTGGGTTTCCCACAGCAAAACATGGACACCGCCATTATATTCATATCTGAGGCAGGGGGTATATTCATATCTGAGACAGGGGCTATCATTTACTGAGCTCATTGCACACAGAACCTTTAGTCTTAAAATATGTATTTAACTTGAAATAATGTTATTTCAAACATTATTTTAAAAGTTAGTTCATAAAACATCCTAATACAAGAAAAATATTGTTTATCTAAGAAAAACGTCATTAGCATTTATGAAAAGGGAAATAATCCAATTTTTTTTTATTTGAAAAAATGGAAAATTGAGCTTTTTCCCTTTTTCAAAATATCAATAAAATTGACAGACCTGACCACCCTTCCAAGTTTGACGTAAGTTTTCCACTTTTTGTCACTAAATTACGCTGTTACACAATTGCGATATATTTTCTGCTATAAGTGTCAGACCTTACAATTTTGCTTTATGGGCTATGATCTATTTTTTGTCTCCCTATTTTTATAGAGAAGATCTGTAAAACGCTTAACATATCAAGGGAACTACAGTTCTCCATGGGCAAGAAAGAAAATGGTTATCAAAATTAATATTGTTTTCAAATTAGGCACACAGCACATGCCCAGCATTTTGGAAGATGCAAATGTGCCAGAAACTTTTGTAAAGAATTACCCTGTATATGTGCTATTAATTCTACTAGTAAGACTGAAGTAGGTGTGATAGGCTAGCTTTTGACCAAATATGTCCATGTGACGTAAGAGGTTTAAGACATGATGGTATGTTAAGATGTAAATATTCAACCTTTTCAAAGAGCATATAATTTATGTACAGAACATAGGGTTTACAAAATTTAATGACTTTCATAAATGTTAACATCAGTATTATATAGTGTAAAAATTAGCGTCTTGTTTTGATTATATAGAATCAAAGTTTGAAATTAAGCATATAAAAAGAAATAAATTACACCTTAGTTTTAAAAATTCCACCAAATTAAGGGTTTAGATTGCACCTGTGGTATAAAAAATGAAGTCAGGTCTTCATTGATCACTGCTACAGTCTTTACCTGCTGCAGCAGTGCCTGAAAAACTATTGATCAATTTTTTTTGGCCTTACCTGATCAATGTTCATTGAAAAATGTTTGAAATGTATGTTTTCCAGGCTGTTTGCTGTAGTGATGGTAAACACTGCTGTCCTTCTGGGACTACTTGTGAAGTGTCATCAGGCAAATGTAAAAGAGGGTCCAGTCTTGTCACGGACTGGTTTGAGAAACAACCTGCTCTGTTAAGATCCGAGAATGTGGTTTGTCCTGATGGTCAACATGAATGTAAAACTGGACAGACTTGCTGTAAACTGTCTAGTGGAGGATATGGGTGTTGTCCTGTACCAAATGTAAGTTTTCTTTTTCGAACCTTTATTTACTTAATCAAATCATTATACAGTTATTGACTAGGTATGAGGGCAACGTATGATTTGTTGGACCTGAAGGTGAAAATGTTGCCGAGGCCGCAGGCCAAGGGCAACGTTTTCACCTGCAGGTCCAACAAATCATATGTTGCCTGAATCCCAGTCTATAACTGTTTTGTTATACCCTTCACTGCTCACTTAAGATTGATCAATTTTATCAATACATGCTATATTATCAATATTACTGTATATGGAAAATTATTGATTAATCAGTTGATAAAGCATCAAGCTGAGAAAGAACAAAATCAAATATATATTTAGTGTATCACAAAAATTATTTATCACAAAACATACTCTTACCTTCTTTCTTACCTTGCTGTTAGCAACAACTCTTGAAGCTCTTAACTTCGGCTATATTTGTATCGCCGATATTGAATGATGATTAATTACTTGTGACGTAAAAGTGACGTTGCAGTCTAAAATTCTTATGTAAGACCGGTCAACAGTGAAATTGTTAGACCGATGTAATAAACATTTCTTTTGTTGGACTTTTTATTAGTAATAATATATAGAAGGATATTTATAAGGGTATAACAATTCTTTATGATGTACACATGATCAGTACATCTCACAGAACATGTGTAAATATGTTTTTCAGGCTGTGTGCTGTAGTGATGGTAAACACTGTTGTCCTTCTGGGACTACATGTGAAGTGTCATCAGGCAAATGTAAAAGAGGGTCCAGTCTTGTCACGGACTGGTTTGAGAAACAACCTGCTGTGTTAAGATCCGAGAATGTGGTTTGTCCTGATGGTCAACATGAATGTAAGACTGGACAGACTTGCTGTAAACTGTCTAGTGGAGGATATGGGTGTTGCCCATTACCAAATGTAAGAACTCGGCTTAAGAACTGAATCATTGAATATACATCTATCTTACCTGATCAATGTTCATTTGAAAAACGTTTGAAATGTATTTTATTAGGCTGTGTGCTGTAGTGATGGTAAACACTGTTGTCCTTCTGGGACTACATGTGAAGTTTCCTCAGGCAAATGTAAAAGAGGGTCCAGTCTAGTCACGGACTGGTTTGAGAAACAACCTGCACTAAAAAGACATCACACAGAAATAAAACCAAAAAATAAAGTTGTTTGTCCTGATCAGACTACAAGCTGTCCTGACAAGAATACATGCTGCAAAAATAAGGAAGGCAAATTTGGGTGCTGTGCCTATAATAACGTGAGCATGAATTCTTTTCAACCTGATTTTTAATATACACATGAAATTTGACAAAGCATTAGAGTCAGAACATTCCCAATTTTCAAAACATGTCATTTTTTCTTAGAAGAGATGATATGAATATTGAAAAAAACTGTAAAAGTTTATGTAGGCAAAAAATTCGAAAATGGATTTTGTTCAGGAAAAGGAGAATTTTTTTATAAAAAGTATGAAAAAGAAAGTGCTACTGTAAATCACTCTTTATTCACGAGAACTTAATTTTCGCGTAATTACGCGAGACAATGAGCTCGCGAAAATTTCATTCTCGCATTTAAAAGTATTCCTTACAATTATATAGAGGAAAAACAACAATTCGTGAAAATTATGTCTCGCTAATAAAAAGTCAATGACTATCTCACAAAAATAAAGTGTCGCAAAAATTTAGTAATATACGAGGGGTTATCAAAAAGTTCGTGGACTGAGGCTATAAAATTAGTACAATGTAGTCTGCGCTTTCAAAATTGATATGGAACATAAAGCAACACAAACTAAAGAAATGTTGAAAATTTTAGCCTGATATGTTCATTATTTGCCAAATTATTATAAAATGAAAACAACATTATATGATCACCCGGCGCTGTCGTCGTTTATTTTCATGACGTCCGATAACGTCATTGTTTTTTCAATGTCCTCTTCTTATACCTCATACACTTTTTTGATGAGATTTCCTGGAGCTGAGCGAGGACTTTAACCCACCTTGTTTATATGACTTTACAATGTCATGAATTGTGGCCTTCAATGAATATAACATTTCAGATGGATTAATACATTGGGAGAGATGCACGCTTGATTGTGCCGGAATATTTTGCTTTTGGGATTTCAATATCTACAACACATGATCAACGTCATTTTTGACGGGATTGATTTTTCCCACCTTGACTGCAAATCGACATTAACTGTGTATTCCTTTTTTCTCTGAATCTATTTTGACATTAAAAGACAAGTACTTTGGATGCATTTTATTTCTCTGTAGCCAGTTTCAACATATTTTAGGTCTATACTATTTTTTCAGGGGCAAAACTTTATAGAATGTTGGAAACGGAAACCCCTCCCCCCTTTTGACGTCATTTTCAAGGCCTCATTTGTTTGGACATTCCGTGTAAAATTTACGATAAAATTTCATAGAACTTCCAGAATGAAGTGAAAATTTCATATTTTATAAAACAATTGTGTCCCGACACATACCTGAATTAACGGAATTATTGGATGTCAAATAATCATGTCAAATGAGTTTTTCTCAGTTACACATAGGTCGAAAAAACATCGTTTTCGAGGTTGCGCCACCTGGACATACCATTGCCTACAAAATCCTTACTAATTTATCAAAAAATAAAAATCAAGATTTGTGATTTATTCTTTTGATAGAAAAGATTATGCTAACTATATATTTCAAAATTCATAGATGTACCTTAAGCGGTTTTAATTTTATGGCGCTAGTCCACGAACTTTTTGATAACCCCTCGTACAGTATTCATATTGGATATTACCAGCATAGTATACTGTACATGTGCATAAATGGGCTTATTCAAAATTTAGTGCAAATGCTAGGTATTGAGTTGTTGGCATATTTATGAATTAGCATTGCAGACTAATGCATAATTATTAATAAAAAATACTCATAAATTAGCACATGGTTTTCCGTGCCAAAGTTGCTAAAATATGAGGCCCACATTTTAAAGTACACATACAGCTTGATACAGTATTATGATTTAAAAGTTGAAAACTCTTTTGTGCATATTGCATTATGTATTCAGTATCAAAGATGGTGTCTATATTTAAAAAAAATATATGAATGAAATATAAGGAGATAACAAACATTGTTCAAGCATCAAAAGTCCATAAATCAATACAAAATAGGAGCGGAGCAAACACGGACCTCCAAAACATCAGAAGTGAGAGCAGGTTAATAGCCATTCTCTGTAACCACTTAAACTTCGTTGCCACGCATGGTCACCGATTTTGATGAAACTTCACCCATGCTTAGTACTTGACACCAGAAACAAATATCAAACAAAATTTCGTTGCTATGTGTCTCGGTTGCTATGGAAACAACCGGAAAAGTTTGAAAAATCGAGATTTTCAGCCACTTTAAATCTTGACTGTGGCTTAATAAAAACTAGAAAAAGCAAACAAACCATTCTCACAAAAAAATGACACCGTGATGTCACTTATACTGTAAAGAAACTGTTTAGAATATATCTCTAAGTAAGAGGTAACCAAGGGTACATTTGGAATATTTTTAAAATGCTGAAATATGCTGAAAAACACTCCGTATTCACTAATGGTAGGTGTTACATGTTCAAACTCAATCATCGACTTCAGAAAAACGATGAAAATGTTTGACCTTAAGTATATAAGTATAAGCAATATCATTTTATAAGTAATTTTTATGGTTGCCATGGTAACACAGCGTAACCATGCAAAACCGGTAACTAAGATTGGGTTAATGCTACTGTCTTGAGGAAACACATGAAAATTCAAGACTGGCAAATATGCATCCTTAGGACCTTGCAACACCAACACCATAAGAAAAATTGTGTATAATTGCTACTTTGCAGTGTTACCATGGAAACAAAGTACCAGTGCTTAAAAGTGAATTTTTTTTCGCTGCATTCAGAATAAAATTGCCATTTTATCAAGAAACAAATTAAAGGACTCAGCTTGAATAGCACTTATCTGGTTGAACTAAAGATGAATGTGATAGATTGATAAAATTTGATGAAGAAAACAACACTCACAGTTGCTATTGTTACCAAAGGAAAATGTTTAACTTTGTAACCTTTATATCAATATTAAACCCTATGTACCAGCTTCTTGAATGCAGTTAGAGATTGAATGATAGTATAAAAAAGTCATATTAGTTGTTCATAAATATCAATCATAAAAGTTTTGGGAATTTACATTTAAGGGTACGTATCCAAGGAAAGAAAATATTTTTCAGGTTTTTAAGCATATATTTTCTGCTTATTTCCATAGCAACGGTCTACTTAAAGAATCTAATCTGATTTTTTTTCAAATGGGAAAACTTGGAGCACACCAACATCTTATAAAATTGATCATTAGTTTTGAGGAAATGTGCTTTTTTAAAAAGATAGGATCAGATTTAAACATACAGAGTGTTACTTTGAAGGCTCCCTGTGGTATAAAAACCATGGCAACCATTGCCAACCAAAATGAAATATCATATTTTGTTCTTGGTATATGTTTCAAGGCTCTTTTTTCTATTATTTGGTCACATTTCATCCTATAATTGCTTTTTATTTTTTGTATGAGTTTATAAAATTCAATGAATATTTTTTTTTACTTTTGAATACTTTGTTACCATAGTAACGTATGTAATAGTTGATTTACCAAACATTTTTATCATGCATTTGAGACATCTGACCTTCAACTTTTGGAAACAGTCATTGCCAATTGTTTGCTTTGCCGCAAATGTTAACTATGGGGCTCTAAACATGTTAAAAAATGCCATTTTTCGAACTTTAAGACATGTTGCCATGGTAACTATAAAGCATAGCAACCAATTTTTGCCTGATTTCAGTTTAGGGTATCAATGACTTTTATCATAGAGAGTTTGAAGAAATTCTGAGACTCTGCGTGCCACAGCTCCTATATAAAATTTCAAATCATTACAGAGAATGGCTCTTAAATATTTCTTGGGGTTAATTCATATCATAGAATTCTTATCCTGATATTGTGAGATGAAGACTCATATATATATATCTGTAAATTCTGTCTTCTAGGCTGTTTGCTGTAAGAGTGGTACTTACTGTTGTCCTAAAGGCTATATCTGTGATACACTACCAGAAATCTGCAGAATGCCGGAGGCCAAAGAAGCTTGGAAAAACACTGCCAATATATTTATACAGAATATATTAAAGAAAAGGGTCCAGGACCTACCATAATGTGGCTATCAGCTTAATTGATGTATATATTAATCTGTTACTGTAATTTGGGTGCCTGTGTTAAGAATAATGTTGAAAGCTACAAAAGTATACTTTAAAATTAGATAAATATTTTTATGAAATGTTAGAGAAGTTAAAAGATTTAATTATGTTAGTGTTAACTTCAAGTACATGTAGATGGCTGATTATCTCGTTTTGTATGTTTCATGGGTTGGTGTATAAATTGAAATTTTGCTAAGAGCGTACCCAATTGTTACCTTTTAGAAATTTTTTTTAATGTTTAGAGGGTCTAGTTATGTTTAAAAAATTTTCATTGAGCCATTTGTATTGACCTATAAAAACCAAAATGTTATATTGACATATTGACAGCTTTTTTGAAAGAATTCATTTAACTAAATAATATAAATTTAATAAAAAAAATATTTCATATACAGTCTTTCTAGCACCTAAGTGCTGGGACTTGATTGCTTATTTATGAACATTTAGGTAACAACATGTAGCAAATACAGAAGTGTATGTGTGTTTATAATACAGTGCAGAATTTTTTTTTAACCTATCAACCTAAAACTCAATGAAACCCCCATTAATAAGGGGTAACAAATAATATTATGTTTTTGGTGAATGAGATTTATATGATAATTCAGCTTTTGTTAATATTGACAGTATGTATTTGATAGTGTCATTGTTTTATTTATAAAATGAATTTGTATTACATTTTTGTACATACACCTATCCCTAGTCTAAATACCTTTCTACTTATAAAAGAAATTCTAAGCAAGCAAATTGTATAATTTGTATCATTTTTGAATTCAGAAACATCTCTCAAGACTGCTTTTTGTAGAGAAAATGTTTTTATTTCACTAAGATCAAAAATATAATATTATCCAGAAGAAGCATTCAATTTTGTAAATATAACTAGTCATATGTATTATTGTTTAAGTGTTAAATGTTTAGGAAACATATGCATTGTAGCAAAAAGCAAAACTGTAGTGTTGAGGCCTATTTTCATGTACATATACACATAAATACAAATTAAACCTTAATTAAATCAGGTTAATGATTTTATTGCCAAGATAGACTTCTTAACATAAAATTGGTATGCCTGCAGTATACATATACTAGTATTCTATTTTAGCTAGGTAAAAACGTAATTTTTAAATAAGTTTACTATTTACTTGTACATCAGTGCAGGGCATTTGCCTTTTTTGGATGCCCATGATAATTACTACGAAACACTTGTAGCTAATTTACAGGAAACTCAGGACACCCACAACCATAATCTCCACAAAATGTTAAAAAATGACAAAGTACAGTTAAGGGGTTCATTTCTTCAACCTCAAAGAAATCAAATCCCAATCAACCTTGTGTATGTACATGTATATACATGTAAATAAAGTTTAATATTTGGCAAACCCAAAAATCCTGATGCAATGAAGGTAAATGATGCTACAGTATCTAGGTTTCTTTTTAGCGCTAGCAAGCAAACAATGAGCAAGATAATTTATCTGAAAGTAAATTCCTGTTTATTACTGATCAATTTAACTTAGTTTAAAGTCTGGCAGAAAGATGTGTTTAGCTTCAGTTTGTAGAAAACTTATGTTTTGTTAAAGAAATATTAAAAAGGTACAAGCAGTGTCATAATTCCAATTCAAAACATTCTTGAGAACAGTGTTGAAATTAATTTTTTATATTTTTTTCTTACACTTAGGGGAAATTTGTAAGCCTTTATGTGTTGTGTTTGCTCATATAAATGTGTTTCAAGCAAAGAAATTGTCACTTAATAGTATGTGTAATTGTCACATATGTATGTTTGACGTAAATTAGTGTGAATCGGCATATACATGTAAATTATTTACTTGTAAAAGCATTCCAAAGTCATTTTCAGATTTTTGTCACTCAATAAACGTAAGCTACAAAATGTTGTCTTATATTTATTTTGGGCTATTGCAATTTATGTATAGCAAAAAATAATCCTCTAGTAAGATTTTTCTTTGAAAAAAATGGTAATTTTTTTTACCCAGTTGCAGCAGTATAAACCATCTGATAAGAAAGATAACTTGGGGGGTAAATGGCTACAGCCTGTATGAATTTTAACGAGGAATGCCACACCAAAATTCTATTTCATTGATCTTTAATACACCCCTTTTCAGTTATGGTTTCAGCATTGGAATGCCGATATCAGCTCTTAATTTTTTCATATGAATATTTTTTTTTTACATTTTTTCATAGAAAATGATAAAAAAGAGATTTATTTGCATGTAAGATGCTTTAGAGTTTAAAAATAATTGCGATTGAATACATCATATGAATATCTAATGAAATATGTTAAGAAGAGCCATATAAAAATAAAAAAAATTTTGCAACAAATAATTTTTGAAATGAAATATATGGAGATAACGAACAGTATTTAATTCATCTTGCATGAAAAAATAAGATAGAGCGCAAAGTAAGTATCATCCCATTTTTCTGTCGTAATTTTAACAATTTCGTCGAGCATAATAGTTAATATCTTTAAAAAAAATAAAAATCTTTCTGTGAAAATGTTGTAATTCATTTTTTTTTAAAGAAATGAATATCTTATTATTTTAATGAAGAAAATGTACACCTTTATGATAAAATGAATGGGAAATATGTGGTTATCTATACTTTTGTAAGGTTTTTCCGATACGGTCTTAGGTAAATAACTCTGTTTTCCATTTCAGCCATTCTTGGAATGGAACACAAATAATAAAGTTTACGGTTTATACACATTTTAAAATCCACGTTAGCACAAACATAGGAAGTATAAAAATCCAAATAAAATTTGTCCGAAGTGATTGTAATACTTAAACAAATGGTGTAAACCTACACTTTCTGCCAGAAATATCAAACCCCATATAATAACAGAAATGTTCTCCATTGTGAAGTGTCGATCTCTTTCCCTGGATTCCCGAAAAAATCAGCTTGTTGGTCCTGCTCTGAACACACTGGAGTATTATACACATTTTAAAATCCACTTTAGGACGATCTCCGCCTCTTTAAAATTCACCATTAAATTCTTTCTTGCAGATGAACCATATTCCCTTCCCGGGACATTCCTTGAGCTTCTTGGTGTTTCGACTATAGGACTATCGCTGTCCTCACCCGTGAATTTAATATCTCCGTTCCATGTTTGATATACCGGGTATGTCCCTCGTACAAGAACTCAAATCACGTAAAATCACAATAATCACAAAAAACGCCTTAATCCTGCATCCACATGCGAAACATTTGTAATATTTGCTGATTTCTCCACTCTGTTTGCGAATGTGATGAATATTTTCATTTTTTATAAACATCACAAAAAAATTCGGGCATTCCTCTCGTTTCGATGCATTGTTACAACGCACTTTGAAAAATTACGCACTTTGAAAAATTTTTTCAAAGTGCGTTAAAATTTGGAACCAAGCTAACGCACTTTGAAAAAAATAATTTTTTTTTTCAAAGTGCGTTAATATCGACCATATTAACGCACTTTGAAAAAAAGTGATAAGATTGATCAATGTTCCTTCAAATAATCGGTATGATAAAAAACAGATTCTGGTTTGATAATTTTTTCATGATAAAGTCACAGTAGGACCTGCAGTTGAGATATTGACGTTTTAAATATTTAAGGTTTTGATAAAATAAAAGGGAAAATTAAAGGGTCTTGAAAAAAAGAGTGACGATTGTTTAAGTTCATTAATACGTTTCTTCTTTTTTTTAATTCTAGTCTTTGATAAGTAGATGTAAAGGTGTATAGGGGACACTAACAGAGGACAGCTTCAAGCAACTTAGCATTTATCATAATAAAAAGGGGCCAATTTGATTGTTCAAAACTATGAAAATTCTTTCTCTCTCATACGTTTTACTGTACTTAAAAATTTCTTGTTTTCATCTGTTTTAATTAACTCATTTATTATGTTCCCCAAACGGAGTTTGGGAACATATTGTTTTTACTCGGTTTCTTATTATTATTATTAAGGTCTTCCGACTTCCTTCGGAAGACCTTATTGTTTTCCGTCGGTTTCCTATTATTATTATTATTCTTTTTTTCATTTTTATGGCGATATCTCAGCTGTGACTGTACAGATTTCAAAGATTTTTACAGGAAAGATGCACCAGGTTAATATCTCCAGACGTGTTTTTCATTTTTTCAAAATTTTCTTCCGTTCGCGATTTTTGGGGAAATTTGTATTTTTTAAATGGATTTTTGTACATTACTTTTCTCGAAAACGGCAGATGATATGACTTTGAAACTTATGGACATGAAAGAACATCACATGCAGATGTGCTTAACGTCCTTCATTTTTTGTCGTTCCTACTTCCGGTCGCAAACGGAAGTGAATTCAAAAAGTCCAATTTTTCAACTTTTTTGTTTTTCAATATTTTTCTTTCGGATTAACAGGGTTTATAGAGCATCTTTAAAGATATCTATATATGTTTTCATTTTCTTCATGCATGTGTTTTTTGCAAAGATATGACCGAACCAAACTTTGTCTTACTGTCGGCGGTTCGAATCCCACTCGAGGCGTTCCCCAAATTTTTTCTTTGTTTTTGTCTTTTTTCAGTTGCGAATTACTTTTCACTCTTTTATAACATGCTTGGAACATTTTGCCGATTTTTAAAAGCTATATTTGGAGATATTTTGTGAAATACCTGGAACAATCACGATCTGTGTTGAGAAACTACTGTAAATAAACGTAAACGAAAAAATACATTCTAAAATCTATTTCATGGGATGACGCAGAATAGAACTCTCAAGAAAAGTCGGTCGGAAGACCTACTTGTTGCCCTAGCAACAAGAACGCATCTAGTTATTATTATTATTCTTTTTTTTCTTCTTTGTTCTCCGGTACTTTTTTTGTCCGCGAGTGTTCTCAGAAACTGTTCACCCAACTAAGTTAAAACCTTTTTAGGGTTAATAGGTGTCAAGTGTAGGTGTGCACAACGAAGGTCATTTTGCGCGCATACGCATGCACGTGCGTGCGCGTGAAATGAGTGAAATGACTGATATACTTATTATAGCCATAACTTTTACATTTTTTATTGAAATGCTTTGAAACTCATTCTATAAGGATATATTAATAGTCTAGATAATATGACATAGTCAAATTAGCACGAACTCACGTGCATGCACGTGCGCTTCCCTCTGATTGGCTAAAACAAAGATTTCAATATCTCTTTTGTTTTTTGACGAAATGCTTTGAAATTTTAAACATAGTCATGCATTAGGATATACTACAATATTATATATAGCAGGTATCATGAAAACACGCGCATGCACGTGCGCTGCAATCTGATTGGCTAAAACTTTAAATGGGTATAACTCCTTTGATTTTCAACCAAACAGGATGGGATTTAGAACGTAGATAGACATAGTCGATTCCTACAAAAAGGTAAGGTCATCATGCACATGCATGCACGTGCATGCACGTGAGATGGGTAAAATCAAAATTACACTTGATGAAGCGTATTTTTTAATACTTTTGGATTAAATGCTTTATTATTTTATTATATTAATGTATATAGATAGTGTAGACAAGAGAATATGGTCATTACGCACATGCATTTACATGTGCACGCGTGCAAATGCTAAAATTTGAATGTATTTGGTATACTTCAGGGAAACGTTGTTAAAGCGTAAAATGCATAGAGTTTGTCGTTTTTAATGAAGCTTAAAGGGAGTATGGCACCAAAAGGGAGTTGGGGAGCGTTTGGGGAACATCTGTAACGGTTCCCGTTACAATTAGCCCTAGTTATTGAAAGTTTTCAACGTCATATCAGTTAGGTAAATACATAATTATATGAATGCTTTGAGTATAGCATAGACATCGAGACTGGGCAAAGGGCCAGGGGCTAAGCCCCCCCACTTATTTTGGAAAGATATATACATCGTATAAGCATTGAAAATGCAGCGTACCCTTTTTAGGTTTATTGCTCCCCTCCCCCGTTTGTTACCGACACCTATGTATTGGAAAGATAAAGATTTGGACTGAGGGATCTTATACCCGTCTTCTCCTCTTTTCGACAGGAGTAAATCAATTCATTTTTAGACGGGGTCACGTGACCCCGTCTTATAGTTTACCGTCAGAGGCGTCAAAACTTAAGCCGTGGTGATAACACATGTATCACCCCTACTAATGTTATTGTGATTTAAATTCAAGACACGTGGTTTAGGTTGACCTATGCAAGGATTATAAGGTAGAACCGGTTCTATAAATAGAATTGTCAGTAAACAAGATATTGCTATAGTCTTTTTCTTTTGAAAACATGTCCTGTAAAAATGTGATTCCAGACCATTTTGAAGGACTTAAATGATTTTTAACAGAAAAATAGGGTGGCTAAAGGGGGGGTTAAAATATAAATGTATCATACATTATGGCGAAAATTAGAGCTCACTGGCGACCGATGCGCAGGTAAATAATATGTGTAATTTCATCCACACTGACAAACCTTTGTTTGCCTTATTTGGCTATTGTTATAAATGCGCACAGAAGATCTTACCACGAGCAACTGACCAATGAATAGCAACGTTTACGCCAAATACATGTTTACATGTTTACTTCGAACACGTGGTTCAGTTCAATCTATGATTGTGTCAATTTGAGTGTCAATGGAGTGCAAAATCAAAAAAATATTCTTATGAACAAAATACAAAGATTAGAAACTATGAAAGATTTGTTGTTAGCTAGATAAAAATATGTTTAATAAAATGTAATTTTTGTCTACTTTAGAACACCAGCGCTTCAAGTAAGCATTTAAATGGACAGAACTTTGTTTACATAACTATACTCGTGATCACGTAGCCGGGGAATCCACCTGACAATTGTATTCACCGATAGTACAACAAAGGAATTAAGACAGCACAAAATCGCTTTTTTGCAGTATGACTTTGAGAAACCTAGCCTTCCACCATTT